CCTCGTGACGTTATTGAAAGACCACCGTCTCGTATTCGCATGCAATTGCGGCTCTTGAAATATTGGTAGGGGTTTTTTTTTAAAATACCAAATTCGATTTTTAAAAAAATGGCCCATGTCTTTTTGGCTGCTGACCCCAGGGCTACAGGGAGCTCTCGAGAGCCCCTTTTAGACGACGGTGTGCTTTGCCCCCCTTCAGCCATACTAGCCAGGTCTTTTTTGAAGAGATGCGAGTACCCACACTTCACCCCACCACACAGTTGCCAATCGACTCACTGTGGTGTTACCCACCTTTATACTGCTGAGTGGACAAGTGGCGAAGGGGGGGGGGGTATTAAAGAAACTTGCCCCCCGTTGTTTCAACTGCCACGTTGGTAATGTCGAATTGAACCGGTGACCTCCAGATTGCAAGTCCAGTGCGCTCGCCGTTACAACCACGGCAGGCCTACTACGGATTCATTTCTCATGGGATTTCATCGGGGTCACTGGTAAACAGCAGGTAGGCGAGTGACGACTAGTAGCCTACTCCAGTCTACCAGTGAACTGGAGTTGGCGCCCGTACTCCATAGCCACAGCCATATCGATATGTGTGTGTAATTTTGAACTTATTTCACACCGTACGTAGCTAACCGTGATAATTGGATGTATGTTATACGTCGGGTGTGGTAATACTTTCCACGTCGCCAATCTGGACGGACTCGGCTGAACTTAAGCCCTCCTCGCAGCTAATTATTTTTCTTGTAAGGCAGAGGTGACGATACACATGCGAGTCTTGTTTTTGTCGTTGTTTCGTGTTATGCTAGGAGATGCTTTTTTTAGCATCTGAGTTCGGCGGAATCCTGGGTTTGTTACCGCTCCATTCAGACGCTCACAATGCAGACCTTTTGGGGGAGCCACTAATGCCAGGTTATTTATCCAGGAAAAGCCCCAATGAGTCTCAGGATTCCTCATCAGGAAGGGTCCCGCATCTGAGAAAATCGATGCCGATGGTGGTGCAACACTGAGTTCGAGGCAATGGTGGGATGAATTGCCGAGTGGATATCCGAGCTGATCCCACGGCTCGCCTCTAACAAGCCCACATTGACCAGTGTGGAAAAGTGTGGGTAAACACACCCTTGAGTTACGTGGCATGGGGGAGGCCTTCAAACAGCAATGGATTGACAAAGGACTAACAGTTAAAAGGTTACAGTAGCCCTACTCCATGCTTTGCTTTTCACTGTTAAAAAAAAAAGAAAATTGCATGTGTTTAGAAATATCTTCGTGATATCTTGATTGTTTTAGCAGATGTATTCGTTGATGTGACAAGCAAAACAAATGGACTGCTCTATGGCCTCAATGGCATTCCAGTGGCCAGAGTAAATACCATCTCCTCGCGAGAATAAATTACGTAAGGATCTGGCCGTTATATTTTCTTGCTCTGGAATGCCGTGCAGGACTTTTGCTTATGAACCCCCGCACACAAATTAAATATTGCGTATTTTTCCCTGCGCGGTGCAGTTTGATAGCATTTCACCAGCGCAGGAATGTTTCCATTTCGGAGACAGTGGCGCGCGCACCCATACATCACAGAAAGACCTCCCACAATTTCAAGATTTCGTGATTAAAAACAACAAACGAAAACGGGGGGGGGGTCTCGGTCTCATAGAATTTTAAGCGGTTCTCTTTGCACGCCGGTTAGAATAAAGGATCTTTCACTACACAAAAGGCATTGAGGGCTTCCTTGGGGGTAAATCTGGCTTCTACTTGCAGTGGGTGGTGTGGTTGCAGTTTGCGTGTGTTTTTGTCTTGATGTTTGTGTGGGTGGTGTCGTGAGCGGCAGTGTCCGCGATTAGCGCCGCTGCGCTACGAACCCGGTAACCGGCGTTAGATTCCCTTTGACGGCCAACAACAGGTGACTCAGTCTCATTAGTAGTTGGTGCGGTATGTAAACATCGCCACTGGGGAGATAAAGGCGGTCGGGCGTGGGGTTCGCCACCCAACCCCCTCGTATGCCATGCCGGCCTTCATAGGTGCTCACTAACAGCACTTGCCCCAACAGTCTGTTGCAGGCTATACTGGGGGAGGGGGGGTGCCTTTGCCTTTGTTTGTGGGGGGTGCATGGGTAATGTGGGCGGTGCATGGGTAATGTGGGCATTGGTCCACGTGAGTGCATACATCCTCTTGTCCGTGTGCGAGTAACAGTGCAGTGGTTATCGCGTTGTTGGATCCCCACGCATCGCAAACATCGGTGGCACATTTCTGAACCAAGTCTCTGAAGCGGTGTGTGTAGCCATGAGCACTGGCGAGGCAAAAGTGGCTGGGCGTGGTGCTGACCCCACACTGCATCCTTGTGTGCCACGTCAGCCCTAATAGGTGCTCGCTAACATTACTTTCCCCAACAGCCTATGGAGGCTACATGGAGGATTTCTGTCTTTTGTACATTGAATGTCGGCTCTCTAGAATCCGAATGGGAATCATTCTTTATACTGGGGGAATCCAATGAGTTATAAAGTCCCTTTCTCACAGATGTCCATTAGTCCAGGTAGATGGGTGCTCGCCAACTGCCCTAGTCCCAATGGTCTTGGTGGCTATGCTAACTGCGTAAAGTGTATCCTTGTGCACACGACAGAAATATAAAGCGATCGATTTAAGCCGCATTTCAAACTGTTATGATGCGTGCAACTACAATATACACTGCCCATTGTTCCAAAGTAATCCAAGCTCTACGTTGGCGTCGCTTTTCTTCCGCTCTATTAACATTTGGAGCTCCGGCTGCAAACATTTATGTGCCGTGATGTCCACGTTGTATAACCGCCTATTTCGCGCTCGTCTCAGTAACTTGGCCTTTTCGACGTGTCTCCGATTCGCCCTTCTGTGCCAACAACGATGTTTTCCAGCAGGGGAGGAAGGGGAGGTGGGTCTAAATAGTTCCATGGTAGACAAAAACAAAGATCCCCCCCCCCCCCCCGTGTAGCTTTAACAGACTGTTGGGGCAAGTGCTGTTTAGCGAGGTAGCACCTAATGAAGGTCGGCATGGCACACGAGGTGGTGGGTAGCCAACATCGCGCCCGGCCGCCTTTGTCTCTCCAGTGGCGATGTTTACACCGCACCAGGTACTCATTTGAGGGTGAGTCGACCTAGGGAAGGCCCAGGACGCGGTTCAAATAATCGTCACCGGTGTTGGCCGTGAGCGGGAATTGAACTCGGGTCGCCGGGTTTACAGAGCAGCATGCCAACCGCTACACACAGACAAAACAAAGATTCCCCGTATAGCCTAAGCAGACTTTTGGGGCAAGCACTGTTAGTGAGCAGCTAATGAAGGCCGGCATAGCACACGGAGGGGGTGGGTGGCCAACACCACACCCTGCCGCTACACTACCGCTCCACACACACATGGCTTTGGCATGTCCCTCCGTGCCAGAGTGTGCGTGTCACGATGTGCATCGATTAATTCGTAGTTTTGAAGACTTGGTTCACACGCTTGCGATGTAGTCGCCTAAATCGTGTGAAATAGCAGACCGTGTTATATTCGTATTAATTTGTTGTAATGGGTTTCCATTACCCCCTGTTTGCCACTACATTTGCCGTGCGTACACAGGGCACGTACAGCCAAAATCTGTCAAAAGTCCGCTGCGCGAGGAAACCGCCGCACGCCATATCGGTCACGGTGGCTGTTTGGACATACTTCACCAACACTGGCGTTGGTGAAGGTGGGTAGCAGAGATGCGGGAGCATAGAAGTACAACACCGCAGTGCCGCAGCTTCCGATGACAATTTTGCCACACAATGGATGGCCACCGGTCCAAGCAACTCCGTGCAGGTTCACATCCCGCTTCGCTTCCGAGTGCTGATGAGACGTGGGGCGCATTCCCGGTGATCTTGGTCACAGTGGCCAGAAGAGGAGGAAATATACATTCGACTCTTGATTCGAACCGTAACCCCCCCCCCCCCAACCTAATCGTGACTAAAAAATAACATATGGGAGGGGGGGGAGGGTGGAGAGACCAACTCTAACTTGAATGCAGAAACACTCGGCACGGAGAGTGCTTAATTCGTTCCTCCGCGAAGGGCGTGTGCACCACACGAAACATCGCAACACACAAACACGCGCGGACGTGGCCGAGTGTTTATAGCGAGTTTGGCAGAAGGATAGGGAAGAACCACCCCACCCCCCACCCCCCACCCCCCTCGCCAGTTTTCTTCACCAAGTTTTCTTCACCAAGTTCGAAATTCGTCAACTGCGGCAGAGCCGCGCTGCCAGATGTTAGCCGTCTCTTGAACGAGCGACCGCATGGGCAACGTCACGTCGTGTGCTGGGCGACGGTACATTCGCTGGCCGATTATTTTAACTTTTTTCTTCTCGGTTGTGCGCTTCGTTAACTGCCCTGCCCATGGCCGCGTGTAATCTGCAAGCAGCGTGTGGGATCGTGTGCTCGAATGCAGTGGCCGTAATCGCCACTCTTTAGTAACGCGAAATTTTATTTGTTTGTTTCGGAACTGGAGCATACAACGGTCCGCATGCCGATATGCTCTGGAGGGGGCCCAGATCTATGGAGAAGCTCCGCTATCAGTCAGTCAAGTGGGATTTTTTTATCTTTTTTGTGACGAAGCCTCTGACCGAATCAACCGAAATGCGCCCGGTTTTGCGTTCAGCCCTCGGAAGCTAAGCGGACTTGAGCCTGGATAGTGCTTGGATGGGCGACCGACGTATGCGCAAACTTTCTGTCATAGGCGGCCGTGGGGTGTGTTCTACGGTGTTAGCGGCAAAGGCCAGCGCAGCGAAATCGATTGTTGTACTGTGCTTCTGTGCTCCCCCCCCCCCTGCCTTCGCCAACGGTGACTGACCGGCAAGTTTTAAATACGGTCCCAAGAACCCACGTGGGGGGGGGGGGGGGGGGAATGGGAAGGCCTTCATCCAGCAGTGGATTGACAACAGGGCTGTACATATGTGCACGTGCATGCTTGGTACACTGCACGCTGTTGCCAGTGCTTAACCTGTTTTGTTGTTGTTTGTCATCCAGATGAACGGGTGGGCGTGCAGAGAAAGACCTTCACCAAATGGATCAACTCGCAGCTGGCAAAGGCGAGCCCCTTGTACTTCCTTGTACTTCCTTGTACTTCCTGCGTTCTCCGGTTGTGCCGCCGCGATTGTCCGACGTTTTACAGATCGGTCCGCAGAACGCATCGCAAGAGGAGGGTACGCATTGTTGCCACCTCTCTGACGCCGTGCAAGGCAGTCGTTGGAGCAGGGGCCAGCGAGGGTGTCTGTTGGGGCAGCGACCGGCTTAACTGCGATTTGGTGCCTCTGATATGTGTAATATATAATTTGTTGATGTGAATGATGCCGGAAATGTTTCGCCGACCAAATGAGTGAATGTCCATTTAAAATATCCAATTTTTCAGAGCTACAAATAATGAAAGTAACGATTGTGGCGCTTGATTTAGTAAAATGTAGGTGGCTGATGTGGCCCGGGATTTGGTGCACTATGCAGGCGCCCCTGGGGACCGGGGTTCAACTCTGGGTTCAGCAGCCAGTGACTTAAACCGTGCACCTAAGTGTAGTCCGCAGCCCGTTATCCAATCGATTTGGTATGATTTATGGTGTGACTAACACTCTTTGGATGTATGATAGAGCAAATAAAAAAATACACCCATCCACATGTGTTCAGATGCTAAATTGTAACGTTGTAATTGCTTGAATTATCATTAATTATATATTCGTTTTATTCTGTTAAATGCCCGGGCATACCCCCAACCCCTATTTAACACTCCCAGCTGTCCTACTGTCACTTAAACTGCACTGCCACTTTTTAATAATATCCCCATTCTTAATTTCAAACCGTTATCATCTCATGGAGCATTTTTTTTTAATTGCTGTAAAGCGCCCTTGGTTAAAGCGCCTTTTGGTAAAGGCGCGATATGAATCTGGACGAGATAAGATGGGATCGTGAGAACGCAGCTCAAATCGTGGGCGGCTGAAGCGGACGCACCGAGCCAACGACGGCTCAGTGCGTCCGACCCCTGAGCCACCTCACCACCATGAGTAAGCGACCAGATATTTTGGCGCCCATGGCAAGGTGCGGTCGGTGTGACCTGCCCCCCCCCCCAACCCCCGGCTGCTCTGGTGCCGGCACAGCCCCCTGCCCCCCACCCAAAATAAAACTCCGAGCCTCCAACTGCAACCACTTGTTCCATTTCCAACAATTCAGTCGCACGCTTGCCACCGCCCCCCCCCCCAACTCAGCAGGACAGCCGCCCCCATCCTTGCTTCCACCACCGCGGATTACTTGTCACTGTTAATCACTGGTTATGACTATCTTGGCCTCTTGAGATCTCCCCCGGTTAAACAAATACACTCGACTACGAGGCTTCTATACGCCTGGTGGGGTTGGCGACTTAAGGGGGGGGCCCCCCTTTGCCCGCTGGTTTGCCGTGATCAGCTCAGGCTGGCCTCCTCGGTTTGGCACCCGTGGGAAAGGTCAGTGAAGCCCGTGGAGTCGTCGCCGCCGGAGTGCGAGGGCTCTGACCCGGCGGGGCTTGCTCCAGGATCGACTGCAGCAAGGGGGGCGGGGAGTCGATGCATGTGTTCCCGCTCTCGCCGCCCGTCCGCCCGCCCTGTTTATGCAAAGCGACGGGGAGGAAAACCGGACACGCCGCCTCGGAAAATTTGTGCTTCTTGCTGCTTGCTGGGGCCACAGCCGCCGCCACTGCTGCTGCATGCTGGGGCCGCTGCTGCTGCTGCTGCATGCTAGGGCCGCATGCTGGGGCCACATGCTCCCACGTGTCCCAACCCCCCCCCCCACCCCCCCCACCCTTGCGCGTGAATCGCAAAGCGAGACAGCATCTGGTCTTCATCACGGCTCTCTCCGCACGACCCCCTTAAGCAGCTGGCGTCCAAAACCAGATGAGATGGGGGCACGCACCCTGCACCGCGGCCTTGACAATACAGGAAGTCTAGGATGCACATGCAGCACCACTGATCTCCAATACCGGAGGAGTAGCGAACCGGGTTTTCCACGTGCACTTTATCACACAGAGCTTTTCTTTGTTGCTTGTCGCTTTTGAGCGCGTATATGTGCGTGATGAATGGCTTTCAAAAGTTGCAAGCGATCGGGGAAGGGTTCTTGTCTAATGTGGAACATGAGGCAGCCTTGGTTTGGATGCAGCCAGGCCATGCATGTCGCCATGTGGGTGAATTTTTCCGGATGTGGTGGCGAGATGTTAACGCCATCGCCTGGTATGTAGGAGGTCCTGTATATTTGGAGTTTAAATGTTCTCCCCATGGTCGCGTGGATTTTGCTCTGGGTCCCCCGGTTTCTCCCCTACACATTTTAGAAACACGCGCTTATTCGGCTGTTATACATTTCCACATAAGCCACTTCATTGAGTGATCATTTTTTTGCCAGGTCGCTTCTGAAAAAGAGCGGGGCCTTACCTGGTAAAGTAAAAACATCTTCGTTTAGTTGGTGAATGGGAAGCGCCTTCATTGCACTTTGAACCCAGTCGTCTGGGGTTGATTTCTGGCCAGGTCTAACATCCAGTGCAAGTGATATCTAAAGCAGTCTTGGTCCTCCCCAGGTCGACTGCCTTTAATGAGTATCTACTGCCTTGTGCAAACCATCAGAACTGGGCAGACAAAAGCAGGAAAGCCATGCATGGTGCCGGCCTCGCCACCTCTTTCGTGTGCTGTGCGTAGCCTTAAGGCTTTTTTTTGCTGCCGCTTGCCCCAACAGTCCATCGTGTGGGTTAATCTCGCACTCTTTCAGTGAGCCCCCTGTTGAATTCCTGGTCAAGGGTGTCATTGGCAATGGGCAACTGGCCCATCCTAGGCAGACTTATTTATAAAAATGAATGCCTGGAACGTCCCTTCATGTCAGCACCCAACTGTTGGCAGGAAACTCTGTCTGGGCATGGCGATGGGTGACAGAGGCTGTGTTTAAGCCGGGGCAATTGTCCCCGTGTATAACATAGGGTCAGCCTGGACACTCCACTTTGCACTTCAACCCGAGGACCAATTCCTGGCCGTGGCTGAAATGAGGAGCGAGTGACACCTAATCCTGGGCATCTAACTTCAGCAACCTGTAATTGACCAGCACGGTGAAATATGGCCAAACAACTATGCCCCACCGCCCCCCCCTCCCCATGTGACTTTCAAAGAAGTGGGGAAAGCCTTCATCCAGGGAGTGGATTAATAAAGCCCTCCAAATCGTGTTATAATGAATTAATCATGGTTTACATGTCAGGCCATTATGCGTAACGTGTATTACTTAGCGGTGAATGTGGAGCTCGCTGTTAATGACCAGCTGGCAGAGCCCTGTCGTGCTGCTCGGTGTGAGCGATGATGGCACGCCGTGATCGCGGCGCGTAGACTCTGGCGTAGGGTCGACGCAGCGCAGCAACAACATCATCGCTGCAACGACCGCCCTGCCTCCAACTTCTCGCCCGCTCCTAACTTGCCCCCCCCCTCCCCCCCACCACGCAAAAACCTATTTAATATCACTACCCTCTGAGCGTGGCGCTCGCCTAACCATTGGCCTGCTTCGTGTGCTGTTGTGCCGGTAATAGCAGCCCCGCAAGCAACGTGCGTCTCGGCAATCTTGGCAGGTTAAATGGACGATTTGTATGTGTGCGTGTGTGTATGTGTGCCTGTGTGTCCTCAACGTGCACATAGCCTGGCACCAGCACCGTGGTGATGTCACCGCCACTTAGTGGCGAATGGCGGTTATTGTTGTTGTCGTGTGTCCGTGGGGAGCGTTGACAGCAGTGGTTAGCGTGCTGCGCCGCTGCAAACACTGCACACAGAGTTTGATTCCTGACCACGGCTGACATCCCCTCGGTCGACTCGGCCTTAAGTGGGTACCTGGCGCAGTGTGTAAATATGTTGCCGTGTGGTTTATCAGCCTTAAAAGGCACTCGTGACCAGTGCTTGCCCCCATCAATCTGTTAAAGGCAACGTGGGGCGATGTGTGTCTTCGTTCTTTATCCTGTGCATGCAGGCTGGAAGAGACCCTATCGAAGACTTGTTCTTGGACCTGCAGGATGGTAGAAAACTCCTAGAGTTGCTGGGAGGCCTTGTTGGGTTCCAACTGGTGAGTATAACCATGCACAGAAAAATACCTGCGCACAGAGATCACTCTCTTTCGTACGGCATGTAAGCAACAGTTTGCATAGATGATGTAATCGTTGAACGTGTTAAGGTCCTTCGACCAATCCAAGGCGACCAGTAGACGCTGGTACGCATTGCAACAATATACCTGCATGGTGTGTGGCGCGGATGGCGCCCTCGACGGTAATGCGTTTGTTGCTCTGGGCTTTACCACAGTCGCGGTTTGGCGATTCGTTGATTTTCCATTGATGGAACGACGTGCAAGAGGACGCGCGTCTCGCCCGTGCTGCGTCCGAGCTCGGCTCCGTGTGGTCCACCTCCCTCGGGGAATATTTGCCAGGTCGCGAGTGGACTCGGTGGCATGTGACCATTTAGCCAGTGACCAGAGCGAGGGTTATACTGGACATGGTATGGAAATATCATCCGTGGTTGCCTGTAGACTGGAATATGTGGCCACATGAGCAGTTGCTACAGCCATGGCGAGAGGTATCCTGGACATGGTGTGCCGGGCACGGTCAGACCCGTCGGAAATGAATCCGCCTCGACTGCGTAGAGATATACGTAATGAGTAACTCGCTTTCGGGAGTCGTTGGATCAATTGTAATTTATTGCTGTGCTATTTTGTTTTGGGTAGAACAGGAGTTTTTTTTTTAAGTTTAACTCTATTCTGCTCGTGACCTACAGAAACATTAACGGTTTTTCCTTTATAATCTTGGTTCTTTCGGTAAAGTCACATAGAAGGGAAACAATAAATAATAAAAATAAAACAATACAAAATAAAAAAAAATTGGTTTTTCCTATGTGTAAAAGTAACAGGAGAGAAGAAAATCGACCGGTTTCAGTAAAAAGGTAAAAGTTTTTTGGGTGCACTAATTTATGTGTGTGTTTTAAAGGTTTTACGAAATGTTAATCGAAATGTCGTTTTGGGCAAAATATCAACTTCAGACTTGCTTTTTTTCTTTCTTTCTTTGAGGCCACATCCCATATGCGTAAAGAGTTAGTGTGTGATTTACAGGTGCCGGAAACAATCGTGGAATTTGGCTTTCAGTCCTCATTCTCTGCTTCTTGAATGTGTGCGCATATGTGCGTGTTTTATTCTTTTTTAACTACACAAAGAGCTCAAATTTAACCATTCCTGTACTTTTTTTTCCACCAAGCTCCATAACTTCCTGAAGTGTTATTATTTATCTCTTTATATATCTTCAGTGTTTGAAGTATCAGTTGTGATTGGTGTATTTGGCATTTACACTTCATTATCATTATTTTAATTACGAAGATTGTTTACCCAGGAAGCCTGATCGAGTCTCAACCCTTTCAGGAGGGTCCTGCCAAGTTTTTTTGCAGTATGGGACAATTGAGTAATTTTCATTACATTTTGAAACGTGGCAAAGAAAATTGGACCGTGACATCGCGGCACACAATGGCAGCGACATCGCGGGATATTTAACGTCCACTGGAAAGCAGACGGCGTGTCGAGTATTTTACGGTTGATACACCCACAGTATTAACTAGAGCGGCCTTCGAGGGTAGGACTGCAAATCTCTCCAATAAGCGTTTTAAATGTACGGTACATTGAACTTCTTTCGCACCGTACGGAACCTATCGTGCTAATCCGAGGTGCTTTGTCACTTGCGCCATGCCACTGCCAGTTGGGCTTGCGATCCTAGGGCCAGTCTCCCAAGATTTATCCTTTCTCCCTCTAATTTTCTAAATGGGGGCGAGAAGCATTTGCGAAAAATTGTCTGCGTAGTCTTCGCGTTTCTGTTTACGTTTCACGCCACTCTGGTGCGATCAGGGATGTTTGGAAGGGGTTGGAGGGGGGGGGGGGTAAGGATTTAAAACAGAAACGGTGGTGCCACAAAGTCTGGGTGCGACACACGAGAACCCAGCATCTTCGCGAGAGGCCCCCCGGCAGCCCGCCCTGCCGAGTGACCGCCGCCCCCCACGACGGATTTCCTCTCTCTCCCGTCAGCCCGTGGAGCGCGGCGCGTCGCGACTCCATGCCCTCAACAACGTCACCAGGGCCCTGCACGTCCTGCGCTCCAACAACGTAAGCATGCGGAGAGGGTTCAGCCCAGTGGCAGGTTTGTCGAGTGCGCAGGCGATGAAACCTCTTAGGTTGCGCAAAGGTCGGCATCTCCTGCAGCGTAAAAGCCTCCCCGCGTTTTTTTTTTTTACGTGTTAATGACACCGACAGCCTGGCTTGTCCAGGGCAGGGGACAATCGATTGCGTTTTGCTTGTGTTAGCTGGAGCGTCGTTGTCGCTTATTGGCCTCACTGCAGTATCGGCAAGCGAGGCTGCCTAAGCCTGTGATTGCTTGATGTGGCACGCGCCGGTGGCGAGGAGCCATTGGGATTGAAGCGAGGGGTGTGGGTGTCCGGTGGATGCAGCCCGAATGCTTGCTTTCGGGTGCGTTTTTTTTAGTTGATTCGGGCGAAGATTGGCGGCAGAAGCCAGACAAGGTGGGGGGGGGGGGGGGGGCCCCCTTTTAATTCCTTGCACCGCAGCTCCGGCCAACCACGAGGCACCGCACCGAGCTGCTACAGGGTGGCAGGGCCCACGAACAACTTTAAGACGACAACGCCGAAGTGCCTCCCTCGCGATTGGCACTTCAGTTGATCCACAGCTGCATTAAACGCGCACGCATATTAAGGCGATGCACCCCCTGGAAATGCGGTGTATGTCGAGATCCATTAATCCGGGGGTCCTTGGGGCAATGATATCATTAGTGTCATTTACTTGCTGCTGCTGGGTTTTTTTATATTTTGCGTGAAATGAAGACGCTGCCAATTTACGGCGACGCTCGCGTAAATCTTTACTCTTTTGCTCGCGGAACCCTTTGGCATTTTGGTTCTCTTAACGTCTTTCAAATTCTCTCCCTTGGTCTTCTGGGAAATGGTGCAGAAGTCAGGTAGGCAGAAAAACACATTTTGTCAGATGCCCCTATCTGTTTCGCAAACGTCGCAGCCCTCCTGCGCTCGGAGAAAAACTGCCGGTGGAATTGCAGCATTTTTCCGAGCCGGGGTATTGTTGCCCCGCGGGTAATAAGTAGGAAGGCTCCATGAAGAAAAATGTTTAATATGGCGAAATAGTGCATTTTATCATCCACATTACCTTGCCATCTTGCATTGGTTATGACTGCAACGTATTGCAGTCGATGTTGGCCTTCATGATAGCCGGCCAGGTGGCTCAGCTGCAGAGCGAGCTGCTCCAAATTTGAAAGGTTGCGAGTTCAAATCCTCAGCCCATCACATTAGGAAGCCACTGTGAGCTCTGCACTTTAAATCTAGATTGAAAACCCATTACTTTAGGACTACTTTGTGCGTGTTTAGTTTGTCCCCCCCCCCCCAGCACCTCCGTTTAGCGCGGTTGGATAACATGCGGTGTGAAAGAAGTTCAATGTACATACATTCATCCCTCCAAGGGTCATTAAAAATGTACGGCTTTGTGCAGGAGTCAACAGTGGATGACCTTTAAGATAAGACTCACCACCTTCGCCATGTGAATGTGGAATTTCCACCGCTGACGAGGGGTTTTAAACAGGAGATGCACACCGCCTCGAGAAATAAACCTTTGGCCTGTCGTCGTTTTTTTTCGAGTTGCCCGTGAATTTGTCCGAGGCAGTTTTTTTTTATCTTGAAGAGATACATGAAATATATATTCATGTACACCGTACTTTGAACTTTCATGAATGGTAGAAAAACACATCAAACCAATGAAAGGTTGCGAAACTGCCTGAGCAAACAATGTGAGGATTGTAATCATCAAAATGTTACTGCAAATGCTATGAGGACATCAACATAAAAGGTTAAGTTCACCGATCATCAAAATTGTAATGTTTTTGCTCTGGGCTTGGATGAGGAATGTAAATCTCCACGCCTAATGGGGTGTGAAATGCGAGGCATTTGGGGATGGTCATTCAGAAATCATCACTCATCATCAGTGCCGCATTCCTATGGCGCGGTGCATTTCTTGATTGATTTTATGCGCCAGCAAATGTGAGTGTCACTTAGCCCCATCTGCCGTGTTGTGGGATTTGAGTTACTTGCAAAGGAAGAGGTGGGGGAAGCTGCGATGATATTCGCTCCGACGGCCCGCTGCAACTTCCGGTAATACGTAAATTGCCTCCGTCGCCGTGCCAAAAATGTCTTCCCCAGATCTCTCTTGTCTGCGTGTTTCGTGGGGTCTATACTTTACCTGTTGTTGCCCAACGATTACGGCAAGGGTGTGATCTCACTTGGACAATGGGTGGGACGTCGCCAAATTGAAGTGGGGGCATTCATCTCAATGCAGACGATCGTGCAAAATCGATGCTTCCAACATTTTAACAAAGCACAACGTCGTCTTACTCTCTTGCATTTGTGTGCACGCACGCATGGGATGGGAAGCGGTGGTGTGGTAGTCAGTTCACCGAGCCCGCGAACCTGGTGACCCGAGTTCGATTCCCGCTCACGGCGAAGGTCGGTGGCGATAATTATCTGAACCAGTTCTGGGTCTCCCCCCCCACACTTTAAATTAGTACCTGGTGCGGTGTCTAAGCATCAACACTGGGGAGGCAAAGGTGGATAGGGGTGGTGTTGTGCCGTACCAGCCTTTGTAGGTGCCTGCTGAAGGCACTTGCCCCAACAGTGTGTTAATGGCTATATAGGAGGGGGGGGAGGGGGTGTGGATATTTGTCTTTTTTCTTCTCTATGGATGTGTTTGTGCATTTATGCGCCCATGCTCAGGTGGAGCTCGTTAATATTGGGGGCCCGGACATTGTGGATGGAAACCACAAGCTCACGCTCGGTCTTATCTGGAGCATCATCTTGCACTGGCAGGTAAGGGTTATGGCAACTGGAGGAGTCGTTCACCCCTTCTGCCGCCCCCCCCCCCCTCCGCTCCATGGCGAGTTCACAATGCGGAGGTCATTATTTGATTGAACATCAACACCAACAACTATTTTAGTGTATATAGCGTCCGAGTGCAGCTCAATCTGAAGACTCTTTTTTGTATTATTATTATTATAATTGGGTAGAAGGCAGAGGTGCGGGAATGGTCATGGGGAGTTGGAAACTTATAAGAGCTGAGAGAACACCAGTGTGGCACTGGCTGGGATGAGGCAATTTGGGCCCAGCCCACCACCACCAACAGCATCAGCAGCCAGCAGCAGCAGCGCCGTTGAGTCACAGGGCATCCTCGGGGAGCTGGGGCCATACAAAGTCTCTAATTTGAAGCAATTCAAGAATTGATGAAATCATTATTTTTAACTCGGTGGTGAATGCTAGTACCTCCAAGGGCTGGATCGACGTTATGTCGCGGTACCACGGGAGATGGCGACAGCTTCGGGGAAACCTTCATGCAGCAGTGGATGATGATGGCTGATAAAAAAAAATACTTGTGAAGAAGATGATCATGATGATGATATTAGGTGTGTCGCAGTATAATTCGCTCAGAGCTCAGTTACTTGGCAGGAGTGTCTGTGTAAATCTTAATTCGCGAGGAACCATGCGATATTAATGCCGTCATTCTTGGAATGCCTTGGCAGCCGGTCAAAGCACTCCCGCTAATGGCTGCGCATGATTTTCTGCTCTGCGCGATGTCAGGGACTCTCTCCCATCAGGGCAGCACAAAAGCCACTCTTGGCGAATTTTGAAGCAAGAGATTTTTTTTATAGCATCGTGAAATCTTGCCGTCCTTTCAGTTGCCATACGTCTGCAATGGCCGAGTCCTTGAGCGCTATAATAATAGGGATAATATGTGGATTACCGGGTAGTGGCGTTTATCTTACATGGCCCTGACCCACAAGTGGCTTTTGTGCCTTTTTTAATACGCATTTGAAAAGGGCAGGAAATGAGTGCAGCTCCCGAGACAATATTGCTCGCTATCGCTTTAACGTTGCGCAGAGATTGCGCGTGGAGGCCCGTCGCGCGTTCTCTCGGCGGGTCTGGGATTGGCCGTTTGAAAAATTGAAAAGGCCGAGGGCAGGAAATGAAGCGGAAGCGTCGCCAGGCACCATGGAGGCGAAATGCTAACTGCTACCTCGCCTGGTATGCAGGAGGGTCGTGGGTTTGATCCCGACCCTGACGTCTGTGCATTTGGAGTTTGCACGTCCTCCCCGTGGTCACGTAGTTGCAACTAAACAAGCTTTGTGTGTTGTGAAGCATAAATAATATTTAATAATGAGAGTTATATTAATGTTACAGCCCTTTGTCAATCCAATGATGGATGAAGGCCTCGCCACAAACTTTTTAGCCATAGCTGGGAAAGGGAGTGAGGTCAGTCGATTCGTAGAGCAATGTGCAAACCACTGTGGCAAAACTTGACCAAATGAAGCAGTGTGGGTGATAAAATAAATAAAAATTCTGCTCATCTCATTTGTTTGCTAAAGCAAATGCCAATAGATAACAGATGTGTGGAAGACCAATGGACCTCTCGACTAAAACGTTTAATTTATTATTATTATTATTATACATTTGTCTTCAATTTCAACATGAAGCTTTTTTCAATTCCTTTGTCAATTTAATTTTTATCTGGCCAGGCAGCTCTGTGGTTATAGCATGTGACTCTCAATTACTGCCAGCAACAATCCATTAATTTGTGTTTTGACTTGATAACACAATCGGAAGCGGTTGCGTTCAATTGTAGTTTTGAGGGTCACCTCAGCTCATGGTCTAGGATTGGTAGTCCTGTGACTAATCTCACCCTTATTATGACAGAATTGTGCAATATTTACCGCTGGCCCTGGAGATTAACACTGCCCCCATTGCTCGCTCGAGCAGGAACGCTTTCATGGCTTTATAGGGATAGAGGTAACCTCACAGGCATTCTCATGTCATACAGTGCAATCCTCCTTCTAAAAAGTCAACATCGTTCGCAATGTAATTCCCTTTCTATCTATCATCTGCCAGCCTCGCTGCAATGCTGATATGTAATCCGGTCCATTTGATACATCATCTGTCGATCGCCTTCGTGGTCTACCTTGTAGTCTCTGCCCAGGTGTTGTACGTACACCTTTGCATGTATGTATAGATGTTGAACTTCTTTTGCACGGTATGCAACCAACCGTCCTAATCGGAAGTGTGGGAGAAGGATAACAAACTAAAGACAAAAAGCAGTTCTAAAGAAATGGGTGTTCAATCTACATGTAGAAGTGCATAGCTCCAGTGGCCTCCTAATATCGAAAGGAAGAGCGTTCCAGATGGTCGCAGACGTGCATCTAAAAGTGTGTGATGCGGTGGACACCTTCTTTGTTCAATGGCTATCCAAAAGCCGCTGCTGCGAGGGTAACGAGTCGGCGTGATTATGGTTCATACTCCTTGCTGAGAAGATTGGCCAGGCGTTGTAGTAAAGCCTCTTCCAAACCACCTCCATATTTGAACATGGGCCGTTAGACGCCCACAGTATTTGGAGGGCTCGCACAAGGGTCCAAGGCTCGTCGTGAGACGCAAAGAAGTGAAACGTCGTGAGACGCCAATTCTGAGCGTGCCCCACCCCCCCCCCCCCCCCCCCCCCCCCCCCGATGGCAGGTGAAGGATGTGATGAAGGAGGCAATGTCCGGCCTGGAGCAGACGAGCAGCGAGAAGATCCTGCTGAGCTGGGTGCGGCAGTCGACGCGTGACTGCCCCGACGTGAACGTCACCAACTTCACGAGCTGCTGGTCCGACGGCTTGGCGATCGGCGCGCTGCTCCACAGCCACAGGTGCAAGGAAGCGGGGCGAGGAACGACATCGCACGTGGCGGCGTCTCGCGAAGCTGTGAAGTTATTATAGGGGGGGGAGGGGGAGAGGCTTCTGTGCAGTCATCCGGAGAAAATTACTTTTAATCGATTGATTGCCGCGAGACCTCTCGCGTTTCGGGGCATCGGGAACATCAACCGTCGCAGGGTCGCAACAGGCCTTTGCGCAACGTCTCCTTCATAAATGGGGAGTTTAAGACAAGCCACAGTGCTGCGATTGTGGCCACGCGACCCAAACTATGGGCAACATTGTTGACCTATTGTAGTCGTGCGCTCCTTCAACGGAGGAGGAACGGCGAAAAACTGCACAAACTCGCTCCTCTGAAGCCCTCTCATCGTGGCCAGCAGACCTCGACATTGGCATTTACAGTCTCAATGTCGTATTGCCTTTGCGCGCGATACGATAGAATATTCTTGGGTCTTTCGGGAAAAGTCACGTAGATAGGTTCAAAGAAAATAACAAAAAAGAATAAATAAAACTACGACGTTTCGATCGCAACACAAGCGGTCGTCTTGCAATGCGGAACCTGAAGACGACCACTTGTGAAGACAACCGCTTGTGTTGCGATCGAAACGTTGTAGTTTTTTGTTTTTTCCTCTGAACCTATCTACGTGACTTTGCCGAAAGACCCAAGAATATGAATTCCTGCAGTCACGAAAGCTTTAAGTCCAAATAGGATAGAATGTTTCAATGCAACAATACCACAAAGGAGCAAGGGAACATTGGGGGAACCAAACAATAGACCATAGGCCCCCCTCCCTCCCTCTTAAAATCCCTCTGAATAGGGAGACAGTATAAGGTATGTGTTTTTTTATTAGCACGTTGTTTTGTGCTTAGAATTATATCTGCAATATGTGAATTGAAATGTCATTGAAAAAGGATAAAACTGTGTTCATTGCGCTCGTGTTATACAAGCAGCCACCTTGTCTCACCCCTCATCACCTTGGCTCCACAGCTGCTTCACACTGAACTTGCACATTTATTTATATCTAACATCAGAAACGTTCCGCATTGGGTCGTTTGGCCATTTCCACGAACGAGACGAGAGTTTGGCTTCGCGTAGGATGAAAGCAGATTACCGGGAGAAACCCCACATTTGTGTTTTAGTTTGTAGTCCTTTCTCCGCACCTCCAATTGGTGCTACGTACAGTGCGAAAGAAGTTCAACATACATACGTACATACCGGCGGGTGACACTCGGCACTGCCATATCCCGGGCCACACGTCGCAGCCCCATACCTATACAATCTGGAAAGCCCTGGCGGTCATTCTTTTAGGCACTCGCCAGGCTCAAGCATGCTCAGCTTCCGAGATCCGACGGGATTAACCGCATGTATGTGATGTGTGTTGAAGTTCTTTCCCCATCGTACGTAGCCAATCGTGCAACAGGTTGGCTTGTGACCCGTGACCCTCCCCCGACCAACTCATCCCTTCATCATTTTCCTCGTCTGCCCATGTGCCCAGGCCGGGTGTGTTTAACCCGGTGGAGGAGCTGCGTGAAATGACCCCTGTGCAGCGTCTGGAGAGAGCCTTTTCATTGGCCAAGGATCATCTGGGCATCGAGCGACTCCTTGACCCAGAAGGTTAATAATAACAACAACATGTGTACATGTACAACATCATCATCATCGTCGTTGTCAGTCATGGTCAATCCACTCCTGGATGAAAGCCTCCCTAACCACAAGCAGTCACCAACCCCCCCCCCCCTTGCCATGATCCTGTGAAGCAAAAATCTGCCCAGAGGTTACACGCCAGCTGATGTAATCGCTCCATCTCTCCCCGGTCGACGTCTTTCCGGATGCATCCCATCCTTTGGCCGCCCACTCCGTCGCTATCCGTGACCATCGGCTGTCATCGCATGCCTAGCGACGTGCCCTTCCCAAGCCCGCTTTTTTTTCCCCATGGTTTGGATGATGCAAACTTGTTAATGTGCGGCCATATTGTCCATCCGCTGCTGGATGAAGGCCTCCCCCACACCATACATGTTGTGGGCGGTGACGAGACGAGGGCACGCTGCTCCGTGTGGACTGGTGAAAAGGGGGTGACTCGGTTACTGGTTCTGTTATTGCTCGCCACTGATGTTAGCCGTGGCTGGAAATTGGAACGCAGGTCGCCGAGTTCATAGCGCACCGTACTATAAATCGCATTACTTTTTCTGTTTTTAACCAAGGTCCCCTGTGAAACCGCTTATGACTGAATGTTTCTTTACCTGCGTCAACAAATAAAAAACAATCCATCAATAATGAAATAACCGTGATGGTAACAAAATTACAATGCACAATAACAAACAAAATAAACTTAACCCGCTGGCTTAAAGGCATCCAAATTATTGTACGGACACATTTATTGCGTTGGACCTTTAAAAAGTTGCATTTATTTGTTCCGTGTTGGGGGCAGAATTATTATTATTATTTCGGAACGGATCGATAAGTAATTTTTCAACACAAACAGAGGATATTGCTGCAGTGCGTGTGCCAGCCACTGCTGAGGCTTGTTACTTCGGATTAGAATGTGAAAGCACAGCTTTTGTGTAATCGGTAGACACACAAACAACTTTCTTCTTTTGTCATTGTTCATACCAGATTCTTTACGAGTTATGTGTTTTTTTTTTAATCTAGAAAACTAAGACATTTGTTTTTCTCACTGGGGATAACAACAATCGTAAAAAAATATTACGCACGCAAATTTTGAAAACGGACCAAAGTTCGAGTGCGACTCGAGAGGCACGAAGCTCAGCTCAGTGACCTAGAAAAGGGGGCTTTGCCGGGACAGGCTCATCGTCGTCGTTGCCAAGTGATGATTTTTTAACGCGAACGAAGAATGTAAAAGCGGCATGGAATTCGGGCTGGAATTCCGGACGGAAGGTGTCCATGGCGAACCGGCAATCGGCAGCTCCACAGTCCATGATTTTTTGGGACGAGCAAATTCAGGTATTCGCTGCGCATGGCACATCGGTTTTGAGAGGGAAGAGTTAATAACGACGATGCCGCCAGGCTTGACGGAAGACCTGAGGGTAAAGGGTGTTGAAAACTAATTTCTTTAGAACTGCTTTTTTTTTATTACGCTTTGTTATCCTTTCCCACACACCTCTGATTTTAGCACGGTTGGCGAGGGGGACAAAAAATAAGTTTGACGTACGCGAGGTGGTGGCAGATGATTGCTCGCCCGTTGTAGTGACCGCCATCGCGTTGCTTCGCAGACGTGGCGACGGCGCGCCCCGACAAGAAGTCGGTGCTGATGTACGTGACGTCGCTCTTCCAAGCGCTGCCCCAGCGCGTGTCGCCAGAGTCCCTGCGCGAGGTCGAGTCGCTGCCCTGGAACGCCGCCGGCGGCGGCGGCGGCGGCGGCGGCGGCACAAACTCGCCCGACCCCCTGCGCCACCGCCATCGCGCCTACGCCGGGACGGACCCCGCGTTCCTCCCACCGCGGCCGCTGCCCTTGCTCGCCGAGCGCGAGTCGCCAGTCCCCGGGCACCGGTCGCCCGTGTCGGGCAGCCGATCGCCGCTGCCGGGGCAAAGGTCGCCACTGCCGGGCCGGGATTCCCCGCGGCTGAGACGCGCCTCGGCGTTCCCGTCCCGCGAATCGCTGGCGTCCGGCCGATCGTCGCCGTTCCCTTCCTGGGAGCTGTCGCACTCGGGCCGCTCCTCGCCATTCCCGACGCGGGAGTCACCGCTGCCGGGAGGTTTCTCGCCCCGTCCCGGACGCCAGGGTCCCGCGCGGGAGCACAAGTCGCCTCTGCCGGCTAGGAAGTCGCCCAGCATCGGTAGAAACTCGCCGGACCCGCGCGACTCTCCCGTCGCAGGGCTCGGCTCGTCACTGCCAGAGCTGATTCCTCCGTCGCCAGTGCAGCAGGATTTGTCCCCTGGTGGCCAACGCGATGAGGTGCCGTGTGGATCGTCCCTGCCTGCTGCTCATGTGCACGATAGACGCCGCCGTGCAGGGGATGACTCCCTTGCGCCGACGCAAGACGCAGCTGAGACGGAAGCAACCCCACTGCTGCCCTGTGTCAGTCTCCCACGGGTAGGTCTTCTGTCACATTAACAAAAAAAATCACTTTCCAGCTTCGTCTATAAGGATAATCTAACATGAACAAAACTTCGCGACAGAGTTGTGCCGCTAATCGATACTTGCCCTCCGGTATCTCCAGTGATAAGGAGATACCCTAGGCCCTGCCAGCTGCTACAGTATCTGGGCCCCCTTGTCTCATCACAGTCGAGGGGATGTATTGCTTTTTTTAAGCGAGCAAAACTGTTATCACTAATTACAGACTTTCAAGGGCAAAATGTTGGAACGCAAAATGGAATTCATTATGGTGCGTGGTTATTTGACGTTTTTTTCATTAATAACACATTTGTAACCGATGCAAAAACCCATCGGCCAGAAATACGCAAGCAGGCTTTAAACAAAATAATAACGCTAATATACATATAATGAATAAAATGTGCTTTGGGCAGCAAAAGTACAACATGAAATACCCAGCATGCTTTGCATCTCAAATTGATGGCACCACGCTTGCATATGTTTTACATACAGCCTGTGAAATTGTATTTTCATTACGTGATCAACAAAAGTAGGCCGATTGAAATAATCTTTAGTTGCATTGCAGAGGTTCAGAAAGAGCGTATAGGTACGAGCAATATCAGTGCAGCAATGATCTACATTGAAAACTCGTTTCTTTTTAACTGCTTTGTGTGTTTAGTTTGTTGTCCTTCCCCGGCACCTCCGATTACTACGTACACTGCCAAATAAGTTCAACATACATGTATACACGCAAAGAAAATTTTTTATTCTGCTGGAACCTGCGTTGACCCTACCCAGTTTCGCAGAGTCTGCATCGCCCTCGGCTCGAAAGCCTCCCAGGGTTGTTTGCGTCAATGACACTGACTGCCTGGCTCATCAGGACAGCGGCGATTGATTGCATTTTGCTCGTGTAGCTCGAGTGTCGTCGTTGCTCATTGCCCCACTGCAAGCTTTGCAAGCGTGGCTACCTACGCCTGTGATTACTTGATGCTGCACACGTAAGGAGTGAGGAGTCGTTGGGATTGAAGCGGTGCAAGCTGAGTGTCGGTGAATGCAGCCGAACACTTTGCGGACTGTTCTTGCATCCCCCTTCGCTGGCCTGGCTGTTGAGTGGTGGCGTAGTTAGCGCATGGTTCTGTGAACCCCGGCGACCTGGCTAACAAAAGTGGTGAGTGACGTGTCAACCGGCCCGGAGCCACTCCACCCCTCCACCCAACCTACGTTGACCAACGTGGTTGAAGTATGGTCAAGCATTTATCCCTCCAAAGAATGAAACAGGAGGATGTCTCCACAAATCTGGCTGCAGCCTGATGATGCTGGTTTTAATTAGTGGCAAAACAGCGTACTCGAATTGTGGATGTTGTGGGTTTACTCTCCAACACACCGGTGTGTGGTACTAGTAACGAATTGGCATGTTTTTTTTTACGTGACAAACATCACCTAATTGGATGTGTCGGTTGGTGGCGGGTTTAAGGACACATTTATATTTACGTGATTTAACCCAAAAAACCTCATGGATATGGTCAAGCAACCACCACGGTCGATAGTGTGAAGAGGCCTTCACGTCTCAGTGATTCGACCAAGGGCCGTTTATTACGAGTGATATTCATCACAACAGTAACGACATTATGTTTTCGTGTTTAAATAAATATTTAGTTGAATATCACATCGCTTAAACGTGTTGCGTGCTTGCTCTACTTGGCAATTGCTACATGGAGCATCACTCGTCCCTGCAGTGACTCTTTAGCCCAATATGCGCACTTAATATCAACTTTCAAGCAATGCAGGTTGTGAGTTGCCGCTGAGTAAATAGGATTGGAAAGCAAGAGAGGCGTGGGTAAGTGGTGGCGTGGGCAGCGGCCTGAAATGTATTAATGGCCTCTGACGGCGGTGAGCGATATCACAACCAGTCCTTGACCCTCCCCCAGGTCTACTCAGCCTCAAATGAGTACCTGGTGCAGTGTGCAATCCTCGGCCTGGAGAAACGAAGGCCGTTTCAAAAATCAGTTGGCAGGTGATCTCCCAACTATAATCCCTTTGGCTCCCAGAGGTAAACTCGGCCTGATGTTGGACTACTTTGTGCAGTGTGTAAACATCGGCACTCAATAAGCGAAGGCTGACCAAACCGTACCCGTCATGCGCCCGTGCTGGCCATTCACGGGTGCTTGCTAACAGTGATCGCACACCCGGACAGCCTGTTGACGATTATACGCGGGATCCTTTGCCGTTGAGTGGGAGGCTCGCTCTAGGTGTGTGCGAGGAACGCAAGGCAGGCGACAGGTCGGCTGACAGACACCCAAATGGACGCGTTGGACAAGGCAGACGGACGACCAGATGGGCACTCAAACTGGCAAGGAGCGTTTATGCCATCCACTGGGGGCTTAACCATTTTAGGGTTTCCTCATCGTCAGCCACGACCAATCCACTGCGGCATGAAGGCCTCCCCAATCCACCACCGCCTCTCTCACACGATCCTGCGACGCGTTGATCCACACGGCGCGTGCGAGCGAATCGATTTAATCGCGCTATCTCCTCGGCTAGACGTCCTCCCGGGACCCGTTCAACTCCTTCGGCCACGGTTGTTGAATTAGCACCTAATTGCTTGTCAGCAGCGTGCAAAAAAGGGCATGTCAACCCTGGACTGTGTTGGGAGTGATCGCGGAGTCTGTGGCTGCTGTTTGTGATGTTTAATAGCAATGCCTCCCGAGCTTATTTTTTAAAAGTTATCGTACATTTTCCGTTGATGCCACAAGGCGTTGTTTGGCATTCGTTTAATGGTAATGATGACAGTGCCAATGGCGCTTGTAAAAAACGGTGGCAAAGTTGTTGCAGTGTGTGTGTGTGTTAATGACAGATTGTAGATAATGGTAATGAATCTTGAGACGACCGTTGGTTTGGCTTAGCACGCATGCAAATATCTTCTGCCTCTGGTCCACCCAGCAGTACACATGGAAACATCTCCCATGGTGGGGGGGGGGGTAAAAGTGTGGGGGTACTCCCACCTCTTCCTGGCAACAGTGGAAGTGTAGGCCAAATACCTTCCAGAGTGGTTCTCTAGAGACAAAGAACCCCCCCCCCCCCCGTGTAGCCTTAACAGACTGTTGGGGCAAGTGCTGCAAGCGAGCAGCACCAATGAAGGCTGTCTAGAGGACAGAGGCAGTCACATTACCGAGCAATCGCAAGGCTGTCCTTTTGCCTTTGTAATCTTCAGCCGGCTCCTGCAGCCGTCGTCGCTGCATATCCAATTGCCAGTTTTTATATTTTAATATTCTTTTCGCGGCGAGGCCCGCACATACGCACGCTGATGTATTTTTTTTTTATTAATGTGGTGTTTGGGGAATTGTGCGCATCCTGGAATCGGAGGCTTTACCATTTAATTTGGCTTAATTCAATATATGGGTTTTTTTTTTATTACGTATAACATGCTCCGAGAATAATATGAATGATATGGGAATGGGTAAACGCATGAGCCGCCTCTGTGTTTCCACACGAGTTCACCGCTAACACTTTAAAACCGCAATTTGGATTCATGTAACGTCGAAATGCAGAGTGGCTATTAGCTGACTGCGCCGTGAACCCGGCCAACCTACGTTCACGGCTAACATCGGTGGCGAGGTGATATCTCAACCGGTCTTGGATGGCCCCTCAACCTTCACCAACCCTGCGCTCACCAGCGCCGTGAGGCCACGGTCAAAAAACCGTCACGACTGACACGGGGTTGGGAGGGGTGGGGGGAGGCCTTCACCCTGCAGTAGAATTACAACAGGGCCGTGAATTAAATCCGTAAATAAATACCTCGTGAATGGATGAATGGGAACGGCTTGATAATATCTCCAGAGCTTGAAATGCTTCATGTAAATGACATGCAAATTTAACAAAAAACCATGTTAATTAGAAATACGTATTAATTAAATGCATATTCTTCAAAGGAATGCTTGTTTTCTCAGAATCTTTAACTGGCCCTTGGTACACAAATGCGCAGGTGCGCGCTGAATGGGATATACACGATCTTAGTTTGCATATTTTGCTTCGTGAGCATCGGCTTGACTGTGTTTCTTCTTCCTGCATTCTAATAATTATCGTGTGCTTCCATTGCATTCAAAATTGCAATGATAGTGGATAGGCCACTCGTCACAATGATGTGGCCTGGTCCGTAGCCCCGGCGAGGTCCCACACATTGCACAGCTCCTGCAGTAGCCGACAGACCAATAGACGGCGTCCCATGGTCCGTGTCTCACCGCAGACACACGCGTGGCAGTGCCATTAGAGCGGCAACGCACTTCTGCACGTTGACTTGTGAGCTGCTCGCATCTCAATCCGAAGTGAGTGGGTTGGGCGAGTGAGTGGGCGAGGTGGCCGAGCGGTTTGGATGAGTGAGGTTGCCAGGGTGAGTTGCTAGAGTAGCCTTCACTTCTTTACGTTGAGTTGTGGGCTGCCGACTTCCGTTCGAAGGCACTTTACAGTGAGGGAAAAAAAGTATTTGATCCCATGATGATTTTGCACGTTTGCCCACTGACAAAGAAATGATCAGTCTATAATTTTAATGGTAGGTTTATTTGAACAGTGAGAAACAGAATAACAACAAAAATATCCAGAAAAACGCATGTCAAAAATGTTATAAATTGGTTTGAATTTTAATGAGGGAAATAAGTATTTGACCCCCTCTCAATCAGATTTCTGGTTCCCAGGTGTCTTTTATACAGATAACGAGCTGAGATTAGGAGCACACTCTTAAAGGGAGTGCTCCTAATCTCAGCTTGTTACCTGTATAAAAGACACCTGTCCACAGAAGCAATCAATCAATCAGATTCCAAACTCTCCACCATGGCCAAGACCAAAGAGCTCTCCAAGGATGTCAGGGACAAGATTGTAGACCTACACAAGGCTGGAATGGGCTACAAGACTATTGCCAAGCAGCTTGCTGAGAAGGTGACAACAGTTGGTGCGATTATTCGCAAATGGAAGAAATACAAAAGAACTGTCAATCTCCCTCGGTCTGGGGCTCCATGCAAGATCTCACCTCGTGGAGTTGCAATGATCATGATAACGGTGAGGAATCAGCCCAGAACTACATGGGAGGATCTTGTCAATGATCTCAAGGCAGCTGCGACCATAGTCACCAAGAAAACAATTGGTAACACTACGCCGTGAAGGACTGAAATCCTGCAGCGCCCGCAAGGTCCCCCTGCTCAAGAAAGCACGTATACATGCCCGTCTGAAGTTTGCCAATTAACATCTGATTCAGAGGACAACTGGGTGAAAGTGTTGTGGTCAGATGAGACCAAAATGTAGCTCTTTGGCATCAACTCAACTTGCCGTGTTTGGAGGAGGAATGCTGCCTATGACCCCAAGAACACCATCCCCACCGTCAAACATGGAGATTGAAACATTATGCTTTGGGGGTATTTTTCTACTAAGGGGAAAGGTCAGCTTCACCGCATCAAAGGGACGATGCACGGAGCCATGTACAATCAAATTTTGGGTGAGAACCTCCTTCCCTCAGCCAGGGCATTGAAAATGGGTCGTGGGTGGGTATTCCAGCATGACAATGACCCAAAACACACGGCCAAGGCAACAAAGGAGTGGCTCAAGAAGAAGCACATTAAGGTCCTGGAGTGGCCTAGCCAGTCTCCAGACCTTAATCCCATTGAAAATCTGTGGAGGGAGCTGAAGGTTCGAGTTGCCAAACGTCAGCCTCGAAACCTTAATGACTTGGAGAAGATCTGCAAAGAGCAGTGGGACAAAATCCCTCCTGAGATGTGTGCAAACCTGGTGGCCAACTACAAGAAACGTCTGACCTCTGTGATTGCCAACAAGGGTTTTGCCACCAAGTACTAAGTCATGTTTTGCAGAGGGGTCAAATACATATTTCCCTCATTAAAATGCAAATCAATTTATAACATTTTTGACATGTGTTTTTCTGGATTTTTGTTGTTGTTATTCTGTCTCTCACTGTTCAAATAAACCTACCATTAAAATTATAGACTGATCATTTCTTTGTCAGTGGGCAAACGTACAAAATCAGCAGGGGATCAAATACTTTTTTCCCTCACTGTAGACATATCCAGGCTGACCGATCTTTCTCTACACCAGCAGCGACGTGTTTAGCAACGTCGATGCGCGTTGCGATGTCTGTGATTATTGCGTTGAGCGCGCATTCGCTACATTTCCCGTCGTGCCGCCGTTGGCGATCTTCTAAGCCGCTCTGTTGTGGCTGGAAAAAAAACTATTCCATGATGTCAGGTGGCTTACAGCTACCGTGTGGGCACGTAGCAGATGTCGTGATCGTATCTCTTACTCTGTGTATCTTTTTATACCTCGCTGTATCTGTGTATTTCCATGGCATCGCCACATAGCAGATGTCTAGTGTCCCCCACCTGTTGTGATAGTATCTCTCTCTCTCTTTTACTCTATCTCAGTTTCTCTGTCTCTCTCTCTGTATTTGTGTGTCTCTCTCTCTGGTGTGTATCTCTGTATGTCTCTCTTTGCATGTCTGTGTATTTCCACGGTATGGCCATGGAGTGGATGTCTAGTGTCCTCAATCCATTATGCTTGTTCCAATTTGCTCGTGACCGCTTTCCTGACGTCCGGGCGCAACGATTCCAGCGGTCATGTACAGGCTGTCAATATCTGGTTATAGGCATCCGGTAAAGAAGACCGTCTCTTGTTCTGTGCCCACACGAGCAAGACATGCCCCCTCACTTTGTTAACAATTGTATCACTCGTCTCCTTTGTAGCGCTCGAGCGATTTGTAGCCGTTTTAGTTTTCCGCGTCTGTGTGTCTTTTTTTTTCTTCCAGATGACTGATGCCGGTCGCCCAGCGACCTCCGACCCCGAGGCGGCGTCCCCAGAAACGGTTGCCGGGAAAATTGACGCAGCGTCGTCGCGGAGCGTTGCCGAGGAGACGGTTGCCATGACAACAGTGCCGCCGCCGCGGATGGTCCAGGATTCGTCGTTCCCGGAGACGCGTCGCGAAGGATGCCGCGGTAAATTTTTATTCAAAGCTTTCGTGACTGCAGGGATTCATTTGCTTGGTTCTTTCGGTGAAGTCACGTAGAAGGGAAACAATAAAATAATAAAAAATATAAAACAATAAAATCATCACGACGTTTCGACTGCAGCACAAGAAATCATCATCGGGTGTGAAAACCGCGGCAAGAAAATTTGAAGAAAAAAACTGCCACTTTTTTCAAATTTTGTGGGGTGGTTGGGGGTCTTTGATTTCGGTTGAAGTTTTAAAGTTAAGTTTTACACGTCGGCTTTCGCGACAAAATACTATTCATAGTAAAGCGGTTTTTTTTGTTTGTTAGATCGCACTAACATAAATGTGTCGTTAACCACATCACCACCTGACACAGCCAAGTAGTAAGGTTTGTCACCGAAACAAAACATGCCAATTCGTTACTGCTTTAGCCCAACAGTGTGTTTGAGAGAAAATCAACATTTAGAATTTGAGTACGACGTTTCGCTGGTAATTGCATCCAGCTTCTTATGTTTTTTAAACTTCTGTTAATACTTCTGTTTTCATGGCATCAGAGCGTGCATGCTTATTTCAGAGTGCTATCCAGTAGGATGCATTTATTTTCCTTGATGTTGTTACTTCTATTAAAACCAGGCTCAGGGCTTCATTACAGCTAGATCTGTGTGGGTCAGAGACCCAGATAATCATTCCACATCTGGCACTCCACCTCCAGTATACATCCAGCTATATAGCTGTGGCTACTACTAGTCGCCTGCCACCTAATTCTGAAAAAATAATGTAATACCTAAGTGGACTTAGCCTGGCAGGATGGGGGGGGGGGGGGATGGTTTATTTGTATGTGTTTTGGATGGTTTGCCTACCGTTATGGTACTTTGCACTACAGTACTATCATGTTTTTGTACTGTTTGTTGTAACAGTTTTACCCGCCTGGACATCAGTGAAAGAGAGCTTTACAGCTCATCGGATTGCTCCTCCAGCATCAATAAATATTGTGATTTGTAATTCCAGTCAAACCAGCGACCTAAAACATATTGGGTGAGAAATTAAACCCCGATCGCAAACCCGCTCCCCCGTAGCCCTCCACAGCGGAAGTGAAAGTTTAAGCGTGTATTAAGCGGCGTTTGCGCTGGTACATGTGCGGGCACGGAGTGTTTTTGTTGTTGTCTGTCGGCGTGCTCCACAAAACACCCCGAGGCGTTGTACTAACCCCGTGTGCGCATCGGGATGTCGCTGTGATCCGAACGACGTCTGTGAGCGGTGGCGTATTTATATTGGACGCAGCCGCGGGGCTCCACCGTGTCCCATTTTTTGTTTAAAAAAAATTTAACTTGAAAGGTGCCGTTGCGCGTTCCTCCGCTTCACATTATACATGCCGCGGAGTTTGCTGTCGCCACACGCGGGGAGTGTGTAGGCGTGGTGCATTTGTTGCCTTTCATAATGAAGCTTTATCATACAAATTAGAACCGCAATGAGCCCAGATAAAGGCCTTACTGTGCCAATAAACTATCTACGTGGATGTATACTGCCTTGTTGTCAATCCGCTGCTCAATTAGCACCTCCCCCTAAGCCACGTGGGTCACGAGGGTTATTTGACCATACTTCACCATGATGGTAGAAAGTGTGTACGCACCACGCAGCAACCTGTTGCGCATTAATTGATATTTACAGGAAACCGAATATTAATGTTGGGCTTTCTGCCAGCAGTGAACATTCTTGTTGTTTATCCGCCACGCTGCTATGTTGGCTGCTCAACTTGTCAAATAAAAACGAGTGATCGAGCGGGTCATTTACATTTCCTATGACAGAGGATGCAGTCTTGGAGGACACTGAGGACGAGGGCGACAGCAAGACCCCACGACAGCCCCAGGGCCCAGAGTCTCTGGTACAGGCCATGGAGGCAAGACGGCAAGAAATGGAGTCCATGCTGCACAATGAAGGGATTCAAGACCCTGAGTCCCTGCTGCAAGCAAAGGAGTCAAGGCCCCATAACCTGGCGTTGTTGCACAAGGCCAAGGAAGAAAGGCCACGGGGATTTGAGTCCTTCCTGCAGGCTGCTGAGGAGATGGAAGGCCTCGATTCCCTGGTACAGGCTATGGAGGCAAGGCTACAGGACATGGAGTCCCTGGTGCAGACTGAGAAAATGCTAGGTCTGGGATCTATATTGCACGCCAATGAGGCAAGGCCGCAAGACGTAGGGTCCCTGTTGCAGAATGAAGGCATGCAAGGTCTGGAGTCCCAGCTGCAGACAGATGAAGCAAGGCCCAAAAGTCTCGAGTCCTTGATACAGGCTGCTGAGGAGATGGAAGGCCTGGGGTTTATACACCAGGCCAAGAAGTCAAGGCTGCAGGACATGGAGTCCCAGGTGCAGACTGGAGAAATGCAAGGGCCAGAAAAGTTCCTGCTGCAAAAAGAGGAAGCAAGGCCACAGGGCCTGGAGTCGCTGTTGCAGGCCAAGGAGGCTCGTCTCCAACGGCTTGAGGAGGTGCTCGCTCGCACGGACGTCGCCCACGGCGATGCAGAGGAGTTGTCAGAGGAGCTCGATGTACGTACGCATCGATTCTCACACTCGGATATTCACAAATGCACGTATCATCTATTCGGTAGCAGTGCAGTAGTACGTAGATACATTTAGCTTCTTTCACACCATACGTAGCCAACCGTGCTTATCAGAGTTGGTATTTCATTGCATATACATGGTGTATAACACAGGCAAACGTAATCCATTCCCACACTTATCATCATTAGCAGATTTGCTTTTCACGTGATTCATACGCTGCAAGGCTATCATGAAGGCGCTATTTTTCGCAGTCAATTATAGTCTGCAGTCGTTTCACAGTCGGGGTGATGTTGATATATTACTTTACCCAATTAGGTAATTTGTGAACTGAACTCTTCACAAATCTGTCCATTCAGAAGAAACGAAGTTGGTGGTTTCAGCATTTCTGGTTTACGCATGGTTAATCTTAGTCTATTTCCACACTCACCGATCCATATGCAGATGTAGCCACCTGTGGATACGTCTGCATATGGCTAGTGTTGTAAGATATGTTGCCTGTGTACATAAGTGCATTTTGTAACTGCCCTGCATTAAACTGATGTAGTGGTCTAATGTTTGGCACAGTGCAATCCAGAGGTCACCGGGTCAATCTCCTGTCGTGGCAGTCGAAACTGGACAGTTTTTTTAAATCTACTATTTCACCCAAAGAGAAAGATCCCCCATATATCCTTAACAGACTGTAGGGGACAAGTGCTGTTAGCAAGCACCTATGATGCTGGAACGGCACACGCGGGGGTGGGTGGCCAGCATCACGCCCGGCCACCTTTGTCTCCTGAGTGGCGATGTGTACTACACACCGCACCAGGTACTCATTTGCGGCTGAGTCGACCTAGGGGAGGCCCAGGACCGGTTCAGATAATTGTCACGGGTGTTGGACGTGAGTGGGAATCGAACTCAGGTCGCCGGGTTCGTAGTGCAGCTGACGGTGCAGTGGTCTAATGTTTGGCACAGTGCAATCCAGAGGTCACCGGGTCAAATCTCCGGGCGTGGCAATTGAAACGATGGCCACCTTTCTTAAATTCCCCCCCCCCCACCCCCGGCTCACTCCACCCAGCTGTATGAACAAGTACACCATGGTTAAGTTAATTGAATGGTTGTGTGGTGGTGGGGTAAAGTGTGTGTACTCCGACCCCTTATGAGACATCTGGCCATTGTGGAAACAGTACGGGTTAAAATGCCCTCTGGAGGATCTCCCCAGAGCTCCCCTTTGGTTGAGACCCTTCCACCAGCTGTGTATTCGAGTAATACATTGCAGGACGATTAGCTTAACCTTTTTAATACAGTAAACAATTCACAAAAAAATCGATCCACCTAATATTCACGAGGGGTCTGCTCAGAAAATGATGTCTGGTATATTCTCTCCAAAGCAACGTTGAGGGGGATTCACAATATCTTATGAATTTGTCGTAATTTTGTTGCGCAGTCAAATTGCCATTGTGTTTTTCTATCAGCGTCCGTTTGTCCAGTTCAGGTGTCTGGGTGGGAATGGCCGTTTGGGCCACAATACTCATTTGACAGCATTACGCACCATCGTCACATGTTCAACAGGCTGCCGGGTCTCTACAGGGGCATACAAATAAAGTAGAATACAACGTGACCGCATGGTTTTCTTAAATTTCCTTTGTTAGAAATTTCTGACAAAAACGTTTTTGGGCCTAAATTGGCGGGCCTAAATTGGCGATCCCAATTGAGAGTCGGTGGGGGGTGGGGGGGAGTGGGGGTGTGGGGAGCATCCGAGAGGAATGCCCCACCAGAGCGAGGGCTGCATTGCCCTTAAGTCGGAGCCTTGCTTACGGCCCTTCTGCCGGGACTCGCCGAAGATGCTTCTGCTGTCAATCACGCTAACATTAAACGCGCTGCCCTCCTGAGCGAGGCGCAGGAGTAGCGAGCATTATTTGCCGAGCGTTCATCTCCTGCTCCGCAAATTTGACGTCCGTCTTATCGCATCGAGTGGCATTTCTTGACATTTTGGCGTCGCCATGGCTACAGCGCTGTGTCTAAATCACCTAGCATGAGTTGCATTCCCTTACCTATCTTTCTCTTTTGCTCATCCCTCCCCCAACTCTGTCCACTGGCCATCTGTCCTGCCTTTATCTATTTACTGATAAAACATTTTATCGTTTTTTATTTATTTTGAAGGCTCTTGAGACGGCGATGCATCGGCCCGATGAGAACGGAGCGTGGGTTCATGACCTCACGAGCAACGGAACTCTGGACTCGAGCAACGGAGAGAAGTTCTCTGCCGTTATTGCTCAATGGGAGACGCTTTACGATAAGGTGTTGTAATACATCCCGGCACATTCATTCAAGTACAAGCTATAAATTTAAGTACAAATGTATATATATAGATATGTTTACAGTATTTTCTGTCAATTAGAAAGATGCTCCCCAAAACGTGCGACCTTAAACACAAGGGGACAATGTGTGACTTGTAATCCGGACAATCCACGCGCAGCCCCTTTGTCAATCAACAGCTTGATGAAGCCCCTCCCCCCCACGCTTTGTCAGTGATGGGCTTAATTTGGCCATACTTCACCACACTGGTCAGTGCCATTTTGCGAATGTGGTAGAGGACAATTACCGTACTGGTTCAGATACCACCGCCCACTGTTGATAGTCGTGACCAGGAATTGAACTCGGGTTGTCTGATTTATAGTGCAAGTGCCCCGACCAATCTGCGACTATTTCACCCAAATACAGAGACAAAGATCCCCCATAGAGCCTTAACAGACATTTGGGGCAAGTGCTGTTAGCAAGTAGCACCTATGAAGGCCGGCACGGCACTGGACAGGGTGGGTGGCCAGCAACACGCCCGGCCGCCCTCGTCTCCCTGGTGGCGATGTTTACACATCGCACCAGGTACTCATTTCAGGCTGAGGCGACCTAGGGGAGGCCCAGGATCGGTTCAGATAATCATCACCGGTGTTGGCCATGAGCGGGAATCGAAATCTCAGGTCGCCGGGTTCGCATCGCAGCGCGCTAACCGCTGCACTACCGCTCGCCCACGAAACACACACACACACGTATACAAACGCATACACGTACACATACGTACGCGATATGGCCGTGTGCTGGCCTTTGCGGGTCGATGCGCATTTCTTTGGCCGGCTGCTTGGTGTTATTGGGTCGCCACCGCGATCGTCTTTTGAGAACGTTATTGCAAAGTGTGCTGCGCCTGCCGGTGTGATTGAGTGGTTGTAAGAAGAAGAAATTAGAAAAGAAGCCTCCATTGCTGCTGCGATGGAGGTCGTACTCAGATTGTAAACGTTGTGTCTTTGCTCTCAAACACAGCCGATGCGCTGCGCTCATAACGAATTGGCGTGTTCTGTTAACGTGCCAAACCTTACTAATTGGCTGTGCCGAGTGGTAGAGGGTTTAACGACACATTAACATATTTACACGATCTAACCCAGAAAAAACTATTATGAGCCTCCATTGCGTTTCTCACAAACGTTTGCCGTTGTTTGATAAACATGGCCATGTCCCGAGTTCCTCAATTTTGCTTTATTATTTACCCCCCTTTGAAGAAAAGCCACTCACTGTCTCTCGGTGTAATTCAAAGCCAGCACTTGACTGCTCCATGCTGTATTGGCCACTTTTCAGCCTTTATCTCATACTTATTAGCAACTGTCGACAAGTTTGATCTGTACGTCGCAGCGGGGGGGGGGGGGGGGGGGAGAATATGCAATGATTGTAAACGTTTCTTCTGTAGACACATTGATACGTTGCTTTTCATTCCCTTGTGTTTTCAAAAAGTTGTCCAACCCGCTTCTCATTCTCTTTCGTGGTTTAATAATATTTGGGTTTTCCGGACCGCCTTCAAATAACTGCCCTAGATGTTCATGCAAGGATGTGTTGGATTTCTGAGACAGATATCTTCAATCACTTAGCAAACATGTTACACGTTGATTTTGCTTCGCTCGTTATTGATCTTGAGCCCCAGATTGCAACGTTCTTTAAAAAATTTAAGTTCCTGTTTTTAAAGTTGCTTCCTATACTTTCCCCACTGGCTGTTATGACTGTCATCGTCAATTGTACACGTTACACACATGCCATTGAATGTTCATAACCAAAATAACGAAGTGGGCTTAGGCAGGGCACGTTGACAAGAAAAGGGCACCCAAGTCGACCTAGAGGATGCCCACGGCCAGTTCCGATAATAATCATTGCAGATGTTGGCCATGAGCAGAAATTAAAATGGTTGCCGGGTTCGTAACACAGTCTGCTAACTGCTACACTACCGCTCTCACATACGTACATACACGAACGGACATTTTTTTTCTCCATGGTCTTCATTTCACTGGATTTAATTTGTTTCGAATGACTTTATCATATATATCACATTGACTATTCCAAAATGGATGGATAGATGGCTCGTGTTCCAATTGTTAATGTGATTTATTATGGTTGGGGAGTCCTCTATAATTTATTTCTTGGCATATTGAGACCTATTTCACATGTTTGATGCACACCGCACTTTGTCAGTCCGCTGCCGAATGAAGGAAGGAGAGGTCCTAAATTGTTTCGGATCCCACTTACCGCTGATGGTAGCCGGGACTGGAAATTGAACTCTGGCCATCACGTTCACAGCGCTTGGACCACTCCACCCCGCCCACCACTCGATCTTTGAAAGATCTCGGAGCTAAGCAGATTTGAGCCTGAATAGTGCTTGGATGGGAGACCACCATAAATACAACAGGGTGTCGGAGGCTGCCTAAAGGACTACATTGTCGGCAGAGGACAATGCAGCAAAATACATTGTTGTCCTGTGCTACGCTCCAATGTGCATACTCCCTTCCCCAACCTGCACTGATCAGCGTAGAAAAGATCGGTCAAACAACCCCCAAAAACCTGGACAGAATGGGGAAACTCATCCTGCAGTGGATTGACAAGCGGACTGTGCATGTGCATACGAACAACTCATGACAACACGTAGTTTTTGTGACGTATCGCTGTAAAGCTCTCTCCGATATTGTGTTTTTCGGGTTGTAACGCGTGACCCTTGGCCCCAATGTCCGACGTTTAATGGCACACGCTGGGACCTTCAGGAACTGAATCACGCAGCTCACTTATTCGATTGAGTTATCTCCCTCTATATTGTGTGAAAAATTGGACTTCGTGCCGAAAAAAACACATCGGGGAGCTAATGACGCCTAAGATGAAGGTGCAGAGACGATCCTCATTAACTATAAGCTATTAATCTATTTTTTTAATTTTACAAGGTAAGCCCCATTGAGATATATAGCTCTTTTTGAAAAGCGACCTGGCTATCACAAATGATAGCTTAACGAATAATATTGGTCGCGAAAGCCTACGTGTTAAACTGAAGTGGCTTTATCGCATGGAAATGTATTGTAGTCAAATTCTCTAAACGCACGTTGATTCTAAATGTGGAGGGTGGGGGGGAACCAGAGGACCTGGAGAAAAATCCACACGACCACGGGGAGAGAGAGAACATGCAAACTCCAAATACACAACAGGTATCAGGGTTTGGGATCAAAGCCAAAAACCTCAAATATACCAGGCGAGGGAGATAACATCTCGCCACCGTGGCGCCCGCACAGGCGACACAGAGGCGGCAGGACCTGGAGCGTCGCGTCGCAGAGGGCCAGGAGCGGGAGCGTGCCCTCCGCCTCGTGCAGGAGAGGGCGGCCGCGCTGAGTCACCGTCTAGGGGCCCTCCTGGCCGACGGAGCGGATGCCCTCGCGCTCCCCCTGGAGGCACAGGTGAGATGGGGAGCGTGGTGGGGGCACTTTTGTTATATAGATCGAGCAAGCCCCTCTATGTATGTTGAACTTCTTTTGCACCGTACTTAGCCAACCATGCTAATCGGAAGCGCTGGCCGGGGGGGGGGGGGGGGCAACAAACTAAACACAAAACTCAATCCTAAAGAAATTAGTTTTTCAATCTAGATTTTAAAAGTGCATCACTCCGGTGGCTTACTCATGCTCTGGTGGCTCCCCAATGGAAGGTACCGTGTGTTGCACAGGCGAGGTATAGTCTGCAGTGATTCAGCAGGAACGGGGGGTGGGGTTCACTTCAGGGCTCCTTACCTCGTTGGATAAGTTGAAAATACATTTTCAAGTTTGGCAAATGTTTGAACCGTGACGCTGGACGCGTGGCCCAGCTTGTTTTATTTAACGTCACGGGATCTTTCACGCCTTGCTGCGAAGCAGACAGCAGCCGCACACTTTCTGTAATTAATCCACCCCACGGTATTCACCTCGGCGGCCGCGTTGTAAAACGCGCACCACACAAAACACCCACCACCGACACGCCATCGCCACCAAGCCGGAATGAGCCGTGGCGCTCGTGGTGGGCCGTATCGACGCGGGGATTAAAGGGCGGCGTGTGTGCGGCTCCAGTCAATCAGGCAGCAGCTGGCGGAGGCGGTGGAGGCTCTGGGGGCGGCCGAGCGGTCGTACGCCGATGCCGGGCTCGTGGGCGACGGAGCCGGCGCGGCCCGGGCCAGGTCTCGCGTCGAGCTCACCCGGGTGAGTTGGAATACCGCCGAGCGATTTAATCTCTCGCTCCGTCGCTACTGCTGCAGCAGCAGCAGCAGCGTAGGCGGCGGGGGCAGGCACGTGGGAGATGAAGATTGCGGTCGTGCCGTTGTGCTGTCCTTCTCCCCGCGCGTGGCGCCGGGGGGCAAGGGAGGAGCGGTGGGATTTTTTTAGCGCAGCTAAGGTTGTTTAATTTAACGGGTTGCTGGCGGTGGTGGCGGCGATGACCAAAGTGTTTTTGGTGAGAGTAGAGTGCGTTTTTGTGTACTTCAAAGTTTTTCTGTGGCTTTTGTGAATTATGCTCATGAGAATATAATCATAAAAGCCAAAAGGCGATGCCATATAATGCCTTGGCTCGTGGGTTTTCTAGATTAGTTTTTTCTCGGTATAATTTTATTTAGTCAGTCAAACTTCGGTCTTTACCAGTCAAGGGTTTACCTGGACAGTTCTTCTGACAATAGATAAAAAGTATGTAATTTTGATGGTCAAACGCAAATTGATCTGTAATTATTGTTGAGAAATATTTATTTTATCCTCAGAGGCAAAATATATCGGTTGAGCATTTTTTTAATTGGGAGGGCTTAGTGAAGGAAGCTTTAGAAGTAAAGATTCTGAGGATAAGGCCAAGAAACGATTGATAATAGGACGAATGGATAAATGGAACAATTCAGAGATGGAAAAAGATCCTCATTAAGCAGAATGTAAGAGGAGAGGACTTACTGCAAGAAAGGGCTGTTGTCTGAAACGTCGCCTATGATATATCATTTATTTATACTGGAGAAATTCGATGAGCTTATGTGAAGCGCTTTTCCACAGCTGTCCAGTAGGGGTGGGTCAAAACGTCACAACAATACTAAAATACGATATACGAGTGCCCAGTCTATATATAAAGCAAGGAATTCACTTCACATGTCTATAAATTAAGCTAAACTATGTTTTTGTTATTTTACCAGGTAAAGCCCACTGAGCTTATTAGCTTCTTTTTCAGAGAGCTTTTAGGAGGAAGGATCTTTGAATAAAGGTGATCCTTTTGTATGTTGTGCTTCTTCCGCACCGCACGTAGCCAACCGTGATAATCGGAGGGGTGGGGGGAAAGGCAACAGTATAAACATAGAAATCTAATTAAAAACATTGCACGATTGAAGCGGATGGGTGAAGGGGGGGGGATACTTGAACCTCGGCATAGAACCTCTGGAAGAAGTAGAAAAAATATTCCTAGAATGTTCTGACCCCCCCCCCCCCCCCCCCCCCCCCCCCCCCCCCCCCCCCGTGCGTGTTTGTGCCTTCGGTCTCGCTGCTGCCACTGCTGCTTCGCAGACGATGCTGGAGGAGGCACGCACGAAGCTGCTGCGGTTCGGATGTCCGGCGGCGGCATTCGAGGCGAGGGTGTCCTCGTGCAGCTCGGGGCTGGAGTCGGTCGCCGACGACATGAAGAGCCAGCGCTGGGCGTCGAGCGCCGAGCCCGATGCCATCATCAAGCAGCTGGAGCAGTGTCTGGTGAGCTCGGTGGGATTCCTCCCACCCCCGAATGTTGGAGTGGGAGCCGAAATACGATTGATTCCCATGGCGGGTTGCGGCGATGATTTTGTGCACGCATATATATATATTGCTTGCGGGTGGTGATTTTCCACAGGTGCCCGCACGTGGAAATGTGAGGCATTCGGCTTTTATGAAGAGTGCCTCCTAGTTCCCGCGGAGATTGGGAGGCATGTAGTTGCTGTTGTGGTGTTGTATTTGTCGCCATTGCGATTCGAGGCCACGGCTTTATTCCAAGTCATGCGAGTAAATCTTTCAGGCTTGAAAATCGAATTCGTGAAAGATAAAAGTAAAAATCTCCTGTGAGTCTTATCGACTGTTGGGGGGCGTGGGGGAAGTGCCTTGATCGTACTCTTATTAGGGCTGCTGGTATGCTGCACACAGCGATGTAAGTACATTAAACTTATCTTCGCGCCGTACGTAGCTCACCGTAGGCCTCACGGCCGTAGCGAGCGAGGTTTAGGGCGGCAAGATGAACTATGAACCTGCGCACGCCTTACGCCTCGAGATGACTGTTAAAAGTCCCGTGACGTTATTTTAATAGTGGACCATGCGTGTGTGTGCGTCACAAGCACCCTGGTGACGTCACCGCCACTTAGCGAAGGGCGGTTGTTGTTCTTGTTGTTGTGCGACCCTGCCGTCACGGTCCCAAATTTGTCAAAGTTGCCAAAGTTAACACGGTTCCCAGATAATTGCTTAATTCGGGCGAAACCAAGCGCAGCGCCCCCATGTTATCCTTGCACGTATAGGAAGAGCGCGTATACCAGACGACTATTATTGTTAGCTACTATTATCAATGACTACTACTACTACTACGACTGGACGTGGTGTGCTGGATGTGGAAGGGCTCCGGGGATGAAATGAAGCCAGTGTGATGAGTGGAGGCGTGAGTTCCGTGCAACTGCGTGGGAAATTCCCTTCTCTGCCCTCGTCCCGTGTTAAAAATTTTCGTATTTTAGAAATTTCGTTTCACACATTTGCAGGCAACTCCGTTCCATCCACCGCCCCCCTCCACCGCAGGATAGGTGCGAGCCGACGTGCGGTGTGCAGTTGACACTTTTTCTTTTGCATTTATTATGATTCTGTTTCCATTTAAATGAAGGTCACGCCCCTTTTATCAATCGACTGCTGCATGAAGGCCTCCCCCATGCTGTGTAGGGTCATGCTGGTCGCGTGACCCCATACTCTGGTCTGTGCGGGTAAGTGAATGGGTGCCAGGATCCCTTTGGATATCAAGGATGATAGCTGTGGTCAGGAATGATCATCTTCATCTTCTAACCATCATCACCACTTAATATTGATACCGCGCCTCCCATATGATACATCTCAGGATGCCCTGTCACAGGGAACCCCCCCTCCCTCCCCCCCCCCCCCCCCCCCCCCCCCCCCCCCCCCCCCCCGCAGGTGCAGCTTCCCCTATAGGGCATAAGTTGAACACAGCACCGGCCACAAAGTGGACATTATGGGGGCGATATTACCCTGTTATTCCCCGACAGATGAATTTGCGATGAGCACCGTTGCTTAACAACATACATAATACATGCGTGCGTGCGTGCGTGCGTACGAAATCTGCCAAAACTTGATTCGAACTCGGGCCGCTGGGTTCACAGTGCAAGGCTCACACCACTGCACCGCCACCCCATCCCAATGTTTGAATAATGTTGTAAATTGCCGACACGCCCCTTACTCGACAATCGGTGAAGAAGAGCTTTATAAGTTCATCGGACTCCGCCTGCAGTCTAAATAAAAAAATCCTGATTACTAAGGAAGTGTCCTTTGCCTCGTGCCATTAGTTCATGTCGTCGTATGTGGCAAGACGCGCAAAGGTGCACGTGGTTATGTTTTTATGTGTGTATGATACTCTTTGCATGCAGCGCTAAGCCAGCAAATTATTAAATTAAAACTGAGGATTACTAACGGGTCCACGTTCAAGCTTGAAGTGAGAAACGCGGAACTCCGGCATCGGATTGATGCCAGCGTTTTTGCACGCTTTGCACGTTCTGTCCTCGTCGTATTTTTCAATTAAAATATTGGCCCGCAAACGGAATTGTTATATCAGCTGCGTAAAACGTAGCCCACGTTAAGCTTAAGCTGGAGCCGATCAATGCCCGTACCAGCAGGAAGCCCTTGCCACTACGCTATCCTTTAAATGTTAAGTTGATCTCGATCTGGAAACGTGCACGGAGGGTGAGATTGGCTTGTTTAAGTTTTCCCTTTTTACTAAAATGTAAATTGCTCGCTGCGATTGAACGTGAAACGTAAAGGTGCAGTCCCTGCAATGGCTCCCTCGCGTCACCTGCTTGGCGGAAGGACCTTCAATCGACTTGCCCTTCATGTCACCAAATTATTGGCGCGTTCGGTATTCATGCCGTTGTTCTAGAGCAAGGCTATCGTGGTGTATGTATGTTGAATTTATTATGCACCGTACGTAACCAACTGTTGTAATATCGGAGGTGTGGAGGAAAGATGACAAACCGAACACAAAGTAGTTCTAAATTAGTTTTTAATCTACATTTTTAAAGTGCATGGCTCTAGTGGCTTCCTAATATTGCACGGAAGAGCTTTCCAGACAGCCGCAGAAGCGCACCTGAAAGCGTGCGATACAGTGACCGTCTTTGTTCCACGGCGACGCAACAGCCCATTAATTCCTGAGGGCGGTATTGCGATGTTTTTGTTCACGCATATATCACTTGCGGTAGGTGATTTTCCCCAGGCGCCCACACGTGGAAATGTTGTAAGGCTTTTTGCTTTATGAAGAGTGCCTCCTAGTCCCCGCGGAGATAGGGATGACCTCCCTAACATCCATCCACACGGAGGCATGTAGTTGCTTTTGTGATGATGTATTTGTCGCCATTATCCACGGAGCTGGGCTTTAAACAAAAAACTAAAGAAAATCCTTGCGATTTCATGTCACAGCTCGCTAATTCCGAGTCGTGCGAGTAAATCTTCGGGCTTGAAAATCGAATGTGTAAAATATAAAAGCAAAATTCTTCTCTCGAGTCTTATAGACTGTTGGGGGGGGGGGGGGGGGCCTTAAGCGAACGCCTGTTAAGGGCAGCACGGTGCGCGCAGCGATGCGTGTATGTACGTTTAAAACTTCTTTCGCACCACGCGTAGCCAACCGCACTCATCGGAGGGTGATATTGTGTGGTAGCTCCATGCCTGGTCGCCTTTTATATATGCATAATAGATAAGGAGGGAATGCGGCTCCTTCATATAAGCTCCACGTAAAAAAAAAACAGTAGTTACCCGCCCCCCCCCCCCCCATTCGGTTCCTGCCACCCACAGGGAGTAAATAATTTCAGCAGCGTTGATTCAATACCAGCAAATTCTGGACCGTCTTCGACACAGTGTCTCATCGGCAGAGTTTGAATCAATGCTGGCGAACTGCCAGATTTTAAAGGCAACGACCACCCTCTCTTTAAGATATGGGTCCTCGTTCCACGCACCTTTAGGTGATACCTTTATATACCCAGTGCCGTTTGCACAATGCAACAAGTACTCGCTTTTAAGGCTGAGTCAACTAAGGGGAGGCCCAGGACCGGTTCAGACACCAGCTCCCACTGACATTCGTCACAGCTGGGAATCTAACGCTGGTCTCTGGGTTCATGAGAGCGGTGAACACACCACCATGCATATAAAGACAAAGATTCCCCATTTAGCTTCATAACCTAATTGCACAAGTGTTGTTGGTGAGCGCCCAATGAAGACAAGGCAGGGTACAAGGGAGTGATGTGGTCAGCACCACACTGTCTCGCCAGTGGGTGATGTTTACTCTGTTCACCAGGTATTCATTGAAGGCTGAGGCGACCTAGGAGAGTCCCGAGACAGATTTATATACGTGTTACCGATGTTAGCCGCGGCCGTAGTTCTAAATCACGTCCCCAAGTTTGGAACATGAGTGCTGCTAAACCACTACATTACTTCTTCCCCAAAAAAACAGTGAAAAACATCAAAATTAATGTATCATGTGCCTAAGGTTTCAACAACACATGATGGTGTTCAATGTGTCTATTAAAGGATCCCTCAGCCTTGAGCGGTATGCACAATCGGGGACATTTTTGGACACGCCAATGTGCATTTTGTTGTGTGCTGTTGAAACTTTAAATTTTTTCGGGCCCAGTTCAAAATTTTCTGCGGTGATGGGTTATATTTTTTACGTTATTGAAGCATGTGCAAAATCAAAGCGGCTAATTAACTCGGGAAATTAAATCCCGTCTACTTTGTGTTTGTTTCTCTGCCTTCGTCCAGCTGCTGTACCGGCGACTCAGCGAGGCGAAGCCTGAGGTGGAGGCCGTGATCAAGCTAGGCCGGCAGATCGTTCAGAAGCAGCAAACGGAGAACCCCCGTGACCTCGACCAGAGGCTGACGTCTCTCAAGCTGCTCTACAACGACCTGGGAGCCGAGGTTTGTGATCTCACGCAGAGAGATGGGGGGGAGGGGGGCGGTGGGTGGCGGGGTTCGCAAGGCATGCTGGGTAGTTCCATGGCAACTTGCTGTGCAAGGGATTACGCGAGGAGTGTAAAGATTCTCACTCTCAACCCCTCCACAAATGACTCGAAGAAACAAAAACTGATTCAAGAACAGATTCTTTGTCTCATTTTTACAGCCTCACTGGTGTTGTCTTGTTTGTTTTGCCGCCTGCTGTCGCATTCGCTCCTTTTGTTAAAATGCAACATGCTCATAATTTGCACGGAATGTCAATGAACAGAAAATCATTGGTGCTCGCATGCACGATTTAATGCGTGTGTTGTAAACGTCAGACGTCGTAGAGTCTGCATCGTGACGTGTGCCAGTTCAGCACTTGCCATCCATGCCGAGTGAGAAAGTATTGAACCTTCTGTCTTATGTTTGTGGGTGTCTACATTCTAGAGATGTGAAAACTAAGGAAATGATACTGAGGCATGACAGTTACATTAGCATTCTGTATTTTGTGACGGTCTCCCATGATAATGCCAAAACAGAGCTAGAAGGGAAAGATTTAATCCTCAAGTTTTTTGGAAGCAAATGCCAATAAAATAAATATTTATAACCATTGCACGTATAATAATTGCATTTGAAGGACAATGTGCACGGAGGTTCACGTGGGGAATATTTATCTGAATGCCATAGATGGAAGGAAGATAAGTGGAGCAAAAGCTAAGATGAAGACAAAGAAGGCTGTGAATGTGTGACACGAGAGAATTGCCAACGCCCAAGAGTATCGAAGCGATTCATGGGAAGAGCAGGAAATATGGGAAGCTTGAAAAAAATATATCATTACCAACCTTCGGATCGAAGACGACAACTGATGATCATGATGATGAAGTGGTGTGACTGCCACGTGCATGTTGAGCTTCTTTCGCACCGTACGTAGCCAATCGTGCTAATCGGAGGTGGGGGGGGGGAAGGACAACAAACGAAAACACATCAAGCAGTTCTGAATAAATTAGTGCATAGTTCCAGTAGCTTCCTAACAAAATGCTGTTCGGTGTGAAAGGGATGCTCGGCACGTGAGCTCTCTTGCAGTGTGATCGCAAGCCACAATTGGACATGGGGATAAAAAAAAACGTAGACGATCAGTAATGTGTGTACGTTCAGGTTGAGGTTGAGGACGCTGATGGCCAGGATTTGGAATGCTCGCGGGATCTGAAACAATTGGGCCATGGCACATGGCGTTCCAACGTGGTTCATGGTTTGAGATTTAAGTTTCAGGTTTTCGAGTTTATTTGTTTAAGCGGGTGAGAGCTCAAAAGACCAGCAAATGTCTCACCAACCCGCGCGGACCTGGGTCACCAAAATTGCCGAAGCAAATAAAATTGAGTACAGAAATCAAGCAAATAGGAATCGGAGCAAAAAAAACACTGTCTCATGAGAAATTGTGAATATTGCACAGACATAAACTGGTGTTACTTAACAATTTACTTTATCTTAAGTTGTCTCTCACAGATACATTTTCAACTGATCGTAGTACGATTACAAAGACCTGAGTGACCATAGTCTCACTGCGGTGAAGGAGATACACCACGTCTGCTGCGCGATGGACCCTGGTCGTTGATGGAAGAGGGAGATTGTCGAATCTATATCCGGTGGCCTTTTGACAACATCGGTCGCAATGACGAGCAGAAACCACAGCACCGACGTGTGATGTGGAACGGGAACACCGCGTGAAGTCCGTTTTTAGTTTTAGGCTTGCGCCCCGAGCAATGCGGCGAATGAACGTGAGTGCGCGCGATCCCCGCGCCCCTCCATGCAGGTGACGGAGAACAAGCAGAGGCTAGAGAAGGCTCTGAAGCTGGCTCGGAGACTGCGCAAGGAGCTGGGGTCCCTGACCGACTGGCTGTCGGCTGCTCACCAGGAGCTGGCGGGCCTCTGCGCTGTGAAGGACGCCCCCCGTGCACAGGACGGGAGGCAGAGCGGTGCCTACGAGGTGACCGAGCCTCACGGGGTGACGGAGCCCGTCGTGGGGTGACCCCACGTGGTGACCCCACGGGGTGACTGACCCCGAATCGGAAGACAAACCGATGACGTGGACATACGTCATGGGAATGGGAAAGGGTGAAGCGATGGCGGCGAGTGACAATAGACGTTACCGGTAATGAATGCGCTAGTCGCTTAGTCAGCGCTTATGATGTCTCCTTCATGTGGCTGATGTTGATGAAGAGTAACATGTGTGTTGGTCCAGAAGATATGCGTCAGGAGTAGCCGGGCGGTGCATCGCCTTCTTGCCTCCTGATATTATACATGTGAATTGGACATTGAGTCATTTGTATGTGTGTGTGTGTTGAACGCCTTCCGCACCGTACGTAGCCAAACCGTGCTAATCGGATGGTTCTGTTCTGGGTGACCACTGTGCTTATGAGTAAACCTCACAAATTATTAGGTGATGCTGCATTGGCCTTGGTGCACAAGCACACACTAATATTACTATTTTTAAAAATGACACATCCGCCTTTAAACGGCCCGGCCTTAAAACGAAAAATCTATAACAGGAGACATTTTCGGCAATGGCCCTTATTGGGGTGCTAAGAAATATGCGCTCTTTGTTTTGGAGCAAATGTGGCTGTTTTGTCATCAGGGCACCTTGGTTCACTGACAAGTGGAGGGCTTTTAAGTGAGAGTACATGAGACGACCGCTTGTGTTGCAATCGAAACGTCGTGATATGTTATTTTTTGTTTTATTTTATTTTTCTCCCTACGTGACTTTACCGACAGAACCAAAAAGTATGATAATCAGAATATTTATTTATACTGCTAGAGGAATCCGATGAGCTATAAAGCTCTTTTTTCACAGATGTCCAGTAGGGGCAGTTAAGAATGTTACAACAACAAACAGTACGAAAAGATAAGAATAGGGTTTGACCCTTAATGGCAATAAAACAGGAGGTGTTAAGATGTTCAAACACCAAATAGAAACCTTTTGCAAGGAATCAAGTTCGAATTAACCACGTGTATACGTGTGGTGAACATGTAAACAAACATGCTCTGGTAATATTTGCATTGTCTTTGAAACTGGCCTACACCAGAGACAGCCTTCTTTTGGGCCTAGTCTCAGCACCAGTGCCTTACAGAGAACGCCTAAAGGCGACCAGGACAATGCCACTATCAGAGCATTCATAGCTCGGGGTGAGCAGCTACAAAGTGGGACCCTTTTTGCCAGTATCAAAGTATTGCCAGAAAGGGTAAAACCAACAAACAGCACAAAAACACGATAGTAGTCCAATGTACAAGAAAGGTAAACACAAACAAATACAACTAAACCATCGCCATCCTTCCAGGCAAAGAGCCCACTGAGGAATTAACTTGTTTTTTAAAAAGCGACCTGGCCACAAATGATAGTTCAACAACATCGCTTATCAATTGGACATGTATGGCAACCCCTTACGTGTAATACAGGTTTGGTAACAATTCATGCTCTGCACTTCCACAGCTTACATTTTTTTTTCACCATATTTTTTTCTCAAACAAACACAAGACGGCTAAAATAATCCATCCTTCCACCTCGATTTCTTGCATGTGCGAAGTTGAGTGCGATTGTCCAGAAGAAAGCTTCCCAGAAAAGTAAACAAATAATGGTGAAAGATAATCGTCCAATCGGGAATAAAAGAAGAAAATTAATAATATAAAACTCAGTTGTGTACGTGATGGGAAAATATATTGGATAAAGTCTTCCATGTATGAAAACACCAAGCAAGACAGATGCCTTATTTAACCTCGTATCATTTTGTTGACTTATCAGAAAATATAGATTATTTTTTTTTACCATAATGATATTTCAGAATTTGATATGAGCTCTATTAATATTGAATGAGTGTCTGCCACAATCATGTTACGGGTTCAATCATGAAAGGTTAAGGATTCAGTTTCACTGCAATGCTTTCTCAGGGGGAGAGAAATACCATCATGAAAAGCTGTTGCTGTTTTTACTTTATATTTTTTTTCAACCCTCGACTGTTTTTATTTCCACACTTCCCTCGACTCGCTAATAAATCACGTATTTGTTCCCCCGCTGCTCTTGTCACACACTCCCAGGGCCTCCGCGCGGAAGTGGACCAACGGCGGGCAGCCATGGAGGGCGTAGTGCAGGCGTGGCTGGCGCTGAGCGGCCTCCTCGTGGCCAGGGACGCCACCAACGACGTCGAGGCACGCGTGGGGCTCGTGACGGAGAGATGGGCGGCCCTCACCACTCGCCTGCGGGAACTCACGGTGAGGGGTGGCGGGGGACTTGAATCCGGTGACGCCTCCTACTTCTCCAGGCTCTGGGAAACAAGTTTCCTCCTTAAAAAAAGTTGTATTTCACTGTTTAAGAAGAAGACGTTCCCCTGGCTGACCCGGTGGTCCAGAGGGCTGAGCCAGCACCGATGAAGGCCCCCGGGTTTGAATCCAGGCAGTGCAGCGATGCACCCTTCCGTGGGCATCTCTCTGTCACAGAGGTTTGCACTGCTGTGCGAGGGATCCGATTAGTTGCCTCGGTGTCTTGACTCGACGTCGATGGCACAATTGTGGTAAAATTGTGGAGAAAGATAAGATATATAGAATTAGTTTCATGCTCAACTTTCTGACCCGCCCCTACTGGACATCAGTGGAAAAGAGCTTTCATAGCTCATCGGATTCCTGCTGCAGTATAAATAAAGATTCTGATTCTGAATACCCCCGCAATGCTGCTTGTGAATACGAGCTCTCATCAATACAACGCCGACTGCGTTGGCAGCAGACTTGAAGTGCAGGATGAATAAAATTCTGGAGGTTCGCACCGCTGTGTGCGAGGGATCCGATTAGTTTGCCTCCGTGTCTTCACACCACGCCGATGGCACAAATGTGGTCAAATTTTCGAGATAGATTAAACATATACATTTGGTTTCGTGTTCAAGGGCACCCATGTGAATGCAACTTTCTGACCTGATTTTACTGAACATCATCCTACCTGCCTATGTTAGCTGTTATTTCCGACTCTACATCACCAGGTTAAATGTCTCCCTATGTGTGTGTCTCTCTCTGTCTCTCTCTGTGTGTCTCTCTCTCTGTGTCTTTCCATCTGTGTATCTCTTTGGGTGTATGTCCCTCTCTCTCTCTCTCTGTCTCTCTCTCTGTGTATCTGTGTGTGTCTCTCTCTATGTGCGTGTGTCTCTGTGGTTGTCTCTCTGTGTGTCTCTGCGTTTGTGTCTCTCTGTGTGTAGGTGTCTCTCTGTTTGTGTCTCTCTGTGTGTAGGTGTCTCTCTGTGTGTGTCTCTCTGTGTGTCTCTCTCTGTGCATCTCTCTGGGTGTATGTGTCTCTGTGTGTGTCTCTCTCTCTATGTGGTTGTCTCTCTGTGGTTGTCTCTCTGTGGTTGTCTCTCTGTGTATTTTTCTCTCTGTGTATCTCTCTGGGTGTATGTGTGTCTCTCTTTATGTGCTTGTGTGTCTGTGGTTGTCTCTCTGTGTGTGTCTCTGTGATTGTCTCTGTGTGTGTCTCTCTGTGTGTCTCTCTCTGTGTCTTTCTCTCTGTGTATCTCTCTGGGTGTATGTGTCTCTCTCTCTCTCTCTGTGTCACTGTGTGTGTCTCTCTCTATGTGCTTGTGTGTCTCTCTGTGTGTGTGTGTTTCCGTATGTGTGGGGAGCAGTTGTGTGGCGGTTAGCGCGCTGCGCTACAAACCTGGCGACCCGGGTTCGATTCCCGCTCACGGCCAACATCGGTGACGATTATCTGAACCGGCGCTGGGCCTCCCCTAGGTCGACTCGGCCTCAAATGAGTACCTGGTGCAATGTGTAACCTCGCCACTAGGGAGACAAAGGCGGCCGGGCGTGGTGTTGGCCACCCACCCCCTCGTGTGCCGTGCCGGCCTTTATAGGTGCTCGCTAACAGCACTTGCCCCTAAGTATGTTAAGGCTATATGGGGGATCTTTGTGTCTCAGTGTGTCTCTCTCTGTGTGTCTGTGTGTGTGTGTGTATCTCTCTTTATGTGTCTCTTTATGTGTGTCTGTTTATGTGCGTCTCTCTCTGGTTGTCTCTCTGGTTGTCTCGCTGTGTGTGTCTCTGTGTATCTATCTCTTTGTGGATGTCTCTCTCTGTTTGTGGGTTGTCTCTCTATGTTTGCGTCTCTCTGTGTGTGTCTCTCTCTATGTGTATCTCTTGCTCTTGCGGGTTTTTTGCTCCAGTTGCCCGGCTCTGACATTGACATGCTAATATTCTCATTGGCACACTCCTGGTTGCCGGAGTCGTCTCACATTTACATGCTAATCTCTTACATTTACATTTACGTACAAATTCCTTCCCTAGCTTCGCCCAGTTACTCTTGGGTTGGACCCACCAAAAGCTTGTATAACCTCTTGTTGCAGCAGCTCTTTCTCCTACGTCAGCAGTTCTCCTGCTGTGTTTGTTTCACCTGATGACGGTTACTTGTGTTGCGATCGAAACGTCGATCTATTAATTTTCTATCTACGTGACTTTACCGAAAGAACCAAAGAGTATGGATTCCTGCAGTCACGAAAGCTTCAAATCAAGATTGGAAAAGAGCTGTCGAGCACATGAGATTAATCCTGCAGTATAAATAAAGATTTTGAATTTGAACGCCGACTGAGTTGGCAGCAGATTGGAAGTGCAGTATGAATTAATTTCTGGACAGCTGCCACTATTAATTTGCCTTGATTTTTTTTATTATTCAGGTAGTGTTCTGGGCAATGGTCCATTTACAACAACAGTAACCATGATGATTATTATAAATTCCCTTTATTTGCCGAAAAAAACCTCCTTGTGTGTCAAGAATATTCTTCGTGAGAGTTTAGGATGTTTGGCCGTGAATTGGTGTTTAGCACACGTGTAAAGATTAATTATGGAGATGAAATATACATGCATGAGGTGGAAAAACTCAAAACTTCACAACGGATGCATTCAAGAACGCGCTGCTGTACTATCAGCTCTTGCAAATTCACAGCTCAAGTCTGCAATGAGCAGGCAGTCTCTCACCATGGTAGTCATGCACGTTACTTGATGCTACTTCACCATGCTGGTCAGTACGGGTTAGTGGGGAGCATAGTGGGGAACGGTTGTGTAGTGGTTAGTGCGCTGCACTACGAACCCGGTTATCCAAGTTCGATTCCTGCTCATGGCCAACACCAATGATAGAGATTATCTGAACCGGTCCTTGGCCTCCCCTAGGTCGACTCGGCCTCAAATGAGTACCTGGTGCGGGTGTGTAAGTAAACATCGCCACTCGGGAGACAAAGGCAGGTGGGCATGGTGCTGGCCACCCACCTCCTCGTGTACGGTTTTGGCCTTCATTTGTGCTTGCTAGCAGCACTTGCTGCGACAATCTGATTAGGCTATACGGTGAATCTTTGTCTTTGTGGGGAGCATAGATGTGGAAGCAAAGATGCCCAGTTAAACAATGCAATTGGCCGCTTTGCCGTACGCTGCCAACCTCGTAGGCCCACAGCAGCCTATAACAGCTGCTTGTGCATGGCAGGTCAACCAAGGACTATTCCAGGCCCAGCCCGGCTTAGCTTCCAAGGTCTGATGGGATCAAGGCCATCCAGGCGGAATGAGTCACAGGCAGCATAGAACGGGTCTGTCGGGGGTTGTGTTGCTGGTGACATCGGGGCAGCAATGCCATTAACTGTAAGAACCCACGTCTTATTGAATCGGCTTAGTAGAGATAAGGGGTTTATTTTCTTTTTGTTTACCAAGTGTGATTGAATATGCAAATTGATTAATGATATTTGTGCGCCTGCTCGTTATTCAGTGTCACCTCACGGTCGGTGTAATTTCGGGTTGACCTGAGACACGCTTCCACAAACAGACGCTGGTGGTAATGGAGCCCGCAAATAGGTGTGGATCTTCGTGGCACAACGTTTGCGATTGCATCGAAGTTCATGGCCAATCTCTTTCTCTCTGTCGCCCATGGTATAATCAAGAGAATCCGAAGCCCTTGTATATGGTCCAGTGCCAGGAGCAATCCATCAACTGATCTCATCACCTCGTTCCTTCGGACGCGTTCTCTCTCCCTCGGCTGTCATTCCATCGCCAGACCCTTCTGTCAGCCGTCAATCCCATTCATCGTTGAGCCCTGCCCAATCCAATTAACTTTTTCTTTTTCATCCGCGGTGTAGTGTTTCACGAAACTGCTGTGGATTTTGTGCGAATTCCTTGGAGGCAAAAGAAAACCGCCTTTTTTCGCGGCACAAATACGGGCGTCAAAATTGGGGAAACCAAAACGGGATTTCTAATTTCCTGGAAAATGATCTCATGTCCTGCTGCGTCGTTGAAGTACAGAAGACAAATAGCGCCTCTCGGCTGAGGCGCGCGTGTGGGCAGGGCGCGTGTCACCGTGGACGTGACACGGTGACACGCGCACGCGGCAGGCCAATTTGTGTTTGAATTTGTATCCTGGTCTCCCGCCTGCCACGGATTTGCATTAATTTGTGTCACGTGTCAGCCCGGCACGTCGTGGCGTCGCTGTCGGCAAGCCAGCGTCGGAGCGTAGAGCACGGAGGAGCATCATTGTGCGTGACTCCCTTCGCCCAGATTTGCTATTTAACCCAATTCCCCCCCCCCCCCCCCATCACCTTGTCAGCGTTTGCTCCCTGGGCTGATTTTCTGCTCGTTGGCAGCGCATTAACACGGCAATGTGCCCGTGCATGCGTGCATACACGCATGCACGCACGCGCGTGTGTGTGTGTGTGTGTGGGCGCACGTCAAGAAATACATTGCGCGTCAGTGTCCCAATTTATATCCGTCGCACAAACGCACGTTGGTTAAGCCAAGCAGGACCTGCAACCACTACGAGTGTCGTGGGTGTCCCGATATTCCCCATAGTTTTAGATATGGCTGAAAGACGCCAACTGTGTAGTCGGTAGTGAGGCAGTCGTCAGACTGACTGCAGAATCAACGCCCGAGAGAAGGCAAAGAAAGCGGGGGAAGATGGTGGGAGAGAAATGTGAGATACATTTTAAGTGTTCGGAGGCCCCTACTGGAGCGGGCCAAGGGAGAAAATGAAGGATGGAAGAAAGTGGAGGAGGCCATTACCCCGCAGTGGGATGTTGTGGCTAACAACAACAACAACAACCAGAGTCACCAACACAATTTTGGAGAAAACGCACGGTAGTTATTTTGAATCCTTGTTTTTTGTCTCCCTTCAACCGCACGATGTAAATGCTGACTCCGCCAATGGCAGGACCTTAAATTACACAGTAGCGCACGAGAAAGCAGGCTCGGCGCCGAGTCGGTAGCCACTGCTTGCGTGAGATTTAGAATCGTTATAGTTACAGGAGAGAACCTCTCTTATCTGTGATGAAGTCTGGGGTAAACTTAGTGGATCCCGTATCGTTATCTACCCCTGTAACCACCGGAACTTCCGCTCTTTTGACACCTCCAAATTTCACAGTGTGGCTTGTGCCGCTGCATAGAGATCTGTCGGCTAAAGCGGCCTCATTCAGTCTCAGACCGATCCATTACCACGAAGACTCATCAGGTATGTATGGATGTTGAACTTCTTTCGGTACCGTACGTAGCCAACCGTGGTAAACTCGCACCTCCGATTAGTGCAGTTGGCTATGTACGGTGCCAAAGAAGTACAACATACATATATACATACAAGGACAACTGAAACACAGAAATCAGTTTCTAAAGAAATTCGTTTCCAATCTCCCTTTTTAAACAAGCATATAGAGCTCCAGTGGCTTCCAAATATCGGAAGGAAGAGCATTCCAGATGACCACAGAAGCGCGTCTGAAAGCGCACGATGCAGTGACCGTCTTTGTTCGATGGTTAGCCAAGGTCACCGTGCATTTGTGATTTAACCAACAACCCATGGAAACCATTCACTGGCCAGACACTGCCCCCTCCACCTCAGTGCCGGCTGTGCCCGTGAAGACAAGTGCCTGCCTCTGTGTTGATCCGTACCGGGCTCCAAATGGCTAAAGACGCCGCCACCTCGACGGGCAGCTAGCTTAACTTTCATTTAAGCCGGTACCGCAAGAAAGGCCATGATCCCCCTTCGCCCCTGATAGGTATTGCTCTGGAGGCAATGATTGTATAGGTGCGCTGTCGTCACGAGCTGTGACAGTCTGTCATTCGGTGATATTTGGCTTGGTGCAGCGGTGATGAATGATCCAATCTTCGGCTAAAATCCACGGCAGAACAAAAAAATCGCCAGTCGTCCCTCTTCCTCCAATAAACTGTCCGGTGATGCACAATGGGGAGTACTGAATAAAAAGTAAAGATTCAATTTAAATTCAGACTCGATTATCAACGCATGCATACTAATCAGGTGGGGTCTGTGATATTGTTATTGATGCTTTAAGGCAAATTCTGTTAATTATTAAAACCGGAAAAATGCCACCTCCTTAATTGTCTTCGAGATCTGACACATGCACAAGCCACACATACGCCCTCAGAGAATAATTGGCCTCATTATGGAGAGTGTTACAAATGAGCTGTGCATGAGTTTTGGGGCTATTGCTTATCTGCATAGGGTCAGCCTTTCTGGAACATCCAAAAAAAATCCCTTTTTTTATCAGTTGTGCATTGATGCATTGCCCAAGACGATACATTTACGTGCAGTCTATTATTCTAGTATCGTGAGATATATCTGTCTCCCCGTGACGTACATACGTACGTATCTCTTTGTGTTTCAATGGGTCTATTTGTATGTGTCTGTGTCTCTATGGTTTTACTATATGGACCGCACTTTTTGGGTGGCACGGCCACAATCACACTGCCCCTGGGGAGAGGGACTTTGTGCCTCTTACTTTTCCGTCGATCGAGGGTGACATGCGCATCGGCCCGCCGACGTTCTCATGCCATCGACGGTTGCAACCAGCGTCTCGCAGAAATGAGAGAGAGAGAGAGAGCGCGCGGGGGGGACCACCGTTTTGCTCTTTGCCCGACAGCCCGACGTGGACACGGCGGAGAAAGCCCCGACCATCCTGGGCGTGGGATTGGGGACGGCAGCAGGGGAGGATGACGATGGTGGAATCGAACACTTGAGAACGTTGGAAGCCAAGAGTTTGAGTGCTGTGAAGGCCAAGGTCGACCATCAGGTGGAACGGATGTGTTTGAGCTGTTTCTCTCTCGCACCACGCTCATTCTCTTTTCAATGTTTGTGTGGTATTCTGTTTATTCAATGTTTGTGTGGCATGCTGTGTATTCAGTCTTTGTGTGGTATGCTGTGTATTCAGTCTTTGTGTGGTATGCTGTATGTTTAATATCTGTGTGGTATGCTGTATATTCAAGGTTTGTGTGGTATACTGTATGCTCAATGTCTGTATGCTGTGTATACGTAGTGTTTGCGTGTGTGCTGTGTATACGATTCCCTCATTGGAGATGTAATTGCTCATACAGCTGTTAGGAATTCCATACAGATTAATTTAACAGGTAACTGGGTGGCTTAGTGGAATAATACCCAAATCAAGGTGGTGAGCCAACACCACTGGATCCTGAATTTGAATCAATCTATAAGTCACCCTTGATTACACGGGATTCTCAAGGCATAAGACTGCCTCTCTCCACCGATGAATGTGCCCTCCTTTCTTCACAGTGCGGTCACATTTCGACGCCACATAAATGCACATTTTGTCGTATTAATTTACAATAAAGAAAAAGTTATTGCCATAAATAAGCAATTAGCACGCGCATGTTTTTTTTGTTGATCATTTTTTTTACATTTCATACATTTGACTTTATAACTGTGTAGTTGTGCACATGTTTAGAAATGCGATGTTGTATTCAACCGCAGCTCGGGAGCCCTGTTGTTTCCTTCAGGATTTATTTGCCCTGTCCATGGTCAAGGCCTGGGAATGTTCATTTTACCGGACATTACATTTGAATGAATAAAGTAAAAAAAAAAACCCACAGGATCGAATGACCCGGTGATAACCGTGGCTGCTTGCCACGTGTTTACCGTGACGAACTTATGCACAGGTGCGCTTTTGACATTGGTCTCCTATTAAACGCTGACGCCTGCTCCTCGGTCCATTTTTCGAGGCAGCGATGTAAAAACCCATAAATAGACCCAATGGCACTCGTGGCTGTGATGTCTTATCAAGTATCATGCGCATCTCAAGAGGCAATGCATTATGAAAATGACTTGCATAGCTGTTAGAATGCGCATCGCTTACATTTTTTAATATTTGTGCGTGCCCCCGCTGTTTTTTTTTTTCGTATTCGCTGAAACTGCTTCTCTGCGGAATAATAACCTAATAGCTGCCCTATCCGCATCACATCTCCGTTTCAACGCTTTTTCAACGTTAACGGCCGCTGTCATTTTCACATGCTTGTTCATTTAAATCACCATCTCTCTCTCTCTCTCCATTTGTCTACAACTCCCCCCCCCCTCCTCCCTCAGCTGGCGCTGTTGCAAGCCCAAGGCATGGGTATAGCGGGAGCCCACAGGGGGCCTTACCGTTTGACCAGCATAGCCTCCATCAAGGGGGCCGACCCCCCATCCCCACCGCACCCCCACTCCTCCCCCTCGCGATCCTCCCATTCCGTCTCTCTGCTGCCTCCCTGCTCTGAGCTCCCCGCAAAGGCAAGCGATGCTTTGGATACAAAAAAAAAATGCCGCACTCCGCGGCTCCTCTCACTCCACACACGCCCGCGTCTCCCCAAGCTCAGCGGGTTGCGCTCGGGGCTGATTTGCTTGCGCCTTTGCGCTGTCCGTCGAGCCGGTCGCTCGATGAGCATGAGCACGCCCGCCACGTGTTGTTCGTCAGTCGGTGATGTTTGTGATCGTAAAATACCATCTGTGTTTGAGACCTTTAATTTTATGGGTAAATTTGTCTCTGGGTGGCTGTCGTTCAGAGCTGCTGGTTATGAACATGTACAAACAGACCTTCATCCTGTGTCCTCCACGTATGAATGCAATATGTCTTAGCTATCGGCCTATTGGCTCTACGGACAAATATTGTCCAGCAGCGATTGTTTAAGCAGGAATATTCGAGACTGGTTTTTGACCTCCTTGGTCTCCATCAACAGAGTCGGGCATCTTCAACAAATACTGCCGGATTCCCAAATCCAACAGGCAAAAAAAAACCACTCCGTATAAACTATTCAGCCACCTTCAACATCATACAAATCTGTATGCTGACTGAAGGATCGGCGAGCTCCCGTCGGGTCTCCTCGCCAAGAATTGTGACGGCTCTCTCGTCTCCTCTCGCCCATTCCCGGGCCCCGCAAACGCAGGAGACGGGCGACGCGAATCCGGACGGCACGGGCGCCGTATCGCCGGGAGATGCGCCGGAAGGGGCCGCCGGGCGGCCCGCGGAGTCGCAGCAGGCCGCCGCGAACCCGGGAGACTTCCTCGCCGAGCTGACGGCGCTGAGAGCGAGGGTGGCGGAGGCGGAGGAGTGCCTGCGCTCACCGGAGCTGCTCTCTGGGCACTACGAGGACTTCTCGCGGCAGGAGGACTGCCTCAATGTACGGCTCGAGAGTGTGGATCGCCAAAACCCCCACCCCCACCTCCACTGAACCACTCGCTTGCTACTTTTCAGTAAATCTAGTTAATTTAACTAATAATCTACAGATGAATCGATGAGTTCAATAAGCCCTAGACTTCACCTGTACGATTTCGGTTGTTCCATTTTGTTCTAAATTGGGGACAATATTGACATTGCTGCTTTGGCCGTTCCGGCCTTAAGAGGGCCTTGCTAACAGCACTTGCCTCCATAGTCTGTCATGTTGAACTTGGGTGATGCTTGTATTTGTGTGTGTGTGTGTGTGTCTGTGTGCAACGCGTGGTGGCACAACGGTTCGCACGCCACGCTACGAACCAGGCGGCCGCGAGTTCTGTTCCCAGCCACGACTAACATCGTTTTGCGAGTGACTATCTGAACCACTTTTGGGCCTTAGATGAGTACCTGGTGTGTTTATGTAAACATCGACGCCGAGGAGATGACAACAGCCAGGTGTGGTGCTGTGGCCACATCCCACCCCCTGGATGGCCGCTCTAACTTCAATAGGTTCTCGCTAACGGCACTTGCCCCAGCAGCGCGTAAATGGACTACGCTGGTGGCCCTTTGCCCCCGTAACAGTGCGTGCAGGCGACACTGCAGGGGCTCAGGGAGGACGTGAGCGGCGTGGGTGCTCGCAAGGCCGCGGCGGTCGCCTCGACGGCCTCCCCGGATGACGCCGTTCTGATCGACGGCGCGCTGCTTCGCCTGCACCGTGAGCTGACCCGCGCGGCCACCGCCTTCGGAGACCGCAAGATGTGAGTGGGGGCCCCGGCCCCCTTCCCCCCCCCCCACCCCCTCTCTTGGATGCGGCCCGTCATACCAGACTCTTGCTCCTGTCCTGCCTGGCTCCAGCCGTGAACAAATGGTGTCGCTTTTACATTAAGCAGCGGCCACTTTCGTTGCCGGAGACTGCGATATGTTTGTGGGTTCTTTGAGTCGTGGCGCATGACGGCCAAAGCCAGGGGGAGTAAAAAATAATTACCTCACCTGAGGGATGAATAGGAAGTTCAAATACCTTTTTGGCAGGCAATCACACTTTAACACACACATGCACACACGCATGCACACACACTTTAGTGATATGCAATCGCGTGAAAAAATGACAACACGCTTGTCGACCGGGCGTTAATGAGGCCCTCTGGAGTGCCAGAGCGGCCTGAGCACAGCGCAAAAATTCAAAACCGTGTTCAGAATCAGAATTTTTATTTAGACTGCAGGAGGAGGAGTCCGATGAGCTACAAAGCTCCTTTGTCACGTGTCAGCGTTGTTGCCGGTTTCAAAACATTCCCCTCCGGTGCCCGTTTCAGTGCAGCTGCGATGCTCACAGTGACGGATTCGTATAATCCATGGACCATTTGGAAGGGGTCGCATTGGTGGGGCGTACGGAATGAAGTTGTGAGCTGCGTTTGGCCCATGGGCCTGAGGCCTCCCTCCGTTTGCTGTCTGAACACAATAAGTGTGCAACTTAAGCCACTTGTAAAGCTTCACATTTCTAAATGAAATGGTTGTGAATCGTTGTGTAACGGTTGGTGGCAGTGCCCTCTGCCTATGACCCCGTCACCCAAAAATGCGCTCGATCTCACAGGGTCTCAGAAGCTAAGCGGGTTTGGGCCTGGATAGTGCTTCGATGGAGAACCACCATGAAGGAACAGGTTTTTGCGACCATGTAAACGTGTCGATAACCACCACCCGCCCGGACACGACCAATTGGTAAGGTTTGTCTTGTGAACAAAACGTGCCAATTAGCTCTCGCTCCAGCACATCGGTGTGATGCCAAGTAAACCCACAACATTCACAGTTGCGTCCGACGTTTGACTAGTTGATGACAACCAGATTCACCAGGCAATGTGCCAGAATTGCGAAGAACTCTTCCTTGTGGGGTTGTGGCAGTCAACAGAGTGCAGCACAGCAGGCGTTGGGTCATACTGCACTTCTATGCTTCCGCCTTCACTGGCCCACACTGAGCAGCGTGGTGAAGTGTGGTCAATAAGAGCCAATCACGATAGAGGCGTCGGGGAAGCGCCTCGACCCACAGCAGTGCCGTTGACACGAGGGACTCGAGCAGCTGCCCATTTTGGGGGGGGGTCCCTTCCGCAGGGTCTACGACCGGGCGGTGGAGCAGTGGCGTCAGTTTCACTGCGACATGAAGGAGCTGACCCAGTGGCTGTCGGACACGGAGGCGCTCGTCGAGCGGCTCTCGGAGGTCGAGGGTCACGCTCCCGCGGAGCAGGCTCAGCTGTGGGTGAGTGGTCTCGGTTCCTGGTCTCACCGTGCACCCACCCCCGCATGGAGCTCCAAATGCGTTTGCACTTGTTCGCTCGTGAATGTGGTTATTTCAAATGACACCTGTGCCATGCGCTCTGTTTTCGTCCGTTTGTGCGTGTGCCAAACCAAGCAGCAATCGCACCCACGCATTTGTTTGACCCCGCGCGTTCATTTCCCCCCGCACCTCCCCATTCGCCGGTGTTGGCTTACTCGTGATTCACTTGCCCACTGACACACTCATCCACCCACCCCACCCACCTCACCATCTAGCTACCCAACCACCCACGCATCCAACCACCCACTCGCACCCTACTCGCGCACTCATTCCCCTACTTACCCACTCACTCACTCAAACACCCTCTTGGCCACTCAAACACCTACTTACTCACCCATTCACTCACCCCACCTCACCCACCACCTCAGCCACCCACTGAAACTAGCACTGTTCGGCTTCGTACGGTGCAAAAGAAGTTCCACGTACATACCCTGCCGTCTCAAACCCACCACGTTGCCGCCCCGCAGGAGCTGATGGAGGGCATCACCGCGCACGAGACGCTGCTGCTGTCGGTGACGTCGGCCGGCGGCGAGATCGCTCGCGACTCGCCCACGGCCGACTCGGCGCTCATCGCCGAGCGCATGGCCTCGCTCGCCCGGCGCTGGGAGACGCTTCGCGACGCGGTCAACGGCAAGCAGAGGAGGTGACCGCCGCACTCCTCGTGCAGGGGGTGGCTAGACCAGAGGACTGGCAACCTGCGGTTCCAGAGACACATGTGGCTCTTTGGCGGCTTCCTCTTTGTGGCTCTTTGGCGGCTTTCTCTTTGTGGCTCTGGGCGGCTTCCCCTTTGTGGCTCTTGGTGGCTTCCCCTTTGTGGCTCTTGGGTGGCTTCCCCTTTGTGGCTCTTGGGCGGCTTCCCCTTTGTGGCTCTTGGGCGGCTTCCTCTTTGTGGCTCTTGGGTGGCTTCCCCTTTGTGGCTCTTGGGCGGCTTCCCCTTTGTGGCAATAGGGGAGCGTCCTCTTTGTGGCTCTTGGGCGGCTTCCTGTTTGTGGCACTTGGGCGGCTTCCTCTTTGTGGTTCTTGGGCGGCTTCCTCTTTGTGGCTCTTTGGCGGCTTCCTCTTGGGCGGCTTCCCCTTTGTGGCTCTTGGGCGGCTTCCTCTTTGTGGCTCTTGGGCGGCTTCCTCTTGGGCGGCTTCCTCTTTGTGGCTCTTGGGCGGCTTCCCTCTTTGTGGCTCTTTGGCGGCTTCCTCTTGGGCAGCTTCCCCTTTGTGGCTCTTGGGCGGCTTCCTCTTTGTGGCTCTTTGGCGGCTTCCTCTTGGGCGGCTTCCCCTTTGTGGCTCTTGGGCGGCTTCCTCTTTGTGGCTCTTGGGCGGCTTCCTCTTGGGCGGCTTCCTCTTTGTGGCTCTTTGGCGGCTTCCTCTTGGGCGGCTTCCTCTTTGTGGCTCTTTGGCGGCTTCCTCTTTGTGGCTCTTGTGCGGCTTCCTCTTTGTGGCTCTTGGGCGGCTTCCTCTTTGTGGCTCTTGGGTGGCTTCCTCTTTGGCGGCTTCCTCTTTGTGGCTCTTGGGCGGCTTCCTCTTTGGCGGCTTCCTCTTTGTGGCTCTTGGGCGGCTTCCTCTTTGTGGCTCTTGGGCGGCTTCCTCTTGGGCGGCTTCCTCTTTGTGGCTCTTGGGCGGCTTCCTCTTTGTGGCTCTTTGGCGGCTTCCTCTTGGCGGCTTCCCCTTTGTGGCTCTTGGGCGGCTTCCTCTTTGTGGCTCTTTGGCGGCTTCCTCTTGGGCGGCTTCCCCTTTGTGGCTCTTGGGCGGCTTCCTCTTTGTGGCTCTTTGGCGGCTTCCTCTTGGGCGGCTTCCCCTTTGTGGCTCTTGGGCGGCTTCCTCTTTGTGGCTCTTGGGCGGCTTCCTCTTGGGCGGCTTCCTCTTTGTGGCTCTTTGGCGGCTTCCTCTTGGGCGGCTTCCTTTTTGTGGCTCTTGGGCGGCTTCCTCTTTGTGGCTCTTGGGCGGCTTCCTCTTTGTGGCTCTTGGGCGGCTTCCTCTTTGTGGCTCTTGGGCGGCTTCCTCTTGGCGGCTTCCTCTTTGTGGCTCTTGGGCTGGGGCCCCCTTGTGGGCAGCCATTTTTTATCTTAAACGTAACTTGACGCAAAAATAATAAGCAATGTATTAAATATGACAGGGAATCGGTGACTACAGAATGTCTTGGTGACAACAAAATGAACAGTCAAACTGTATTGTTATAGAAATAACAAAAGGAGACAAAAAATAAATAGACGCGTATTCTTGGTTCTTTTGGTAAAGTCACGTAGAAGGGAAACAATAAAATAATAAACATATAAAACAATAAAATTCTCATGACGTTTCGACTGCAACACATGCAATCATCATCAGGTGTGAAAACCACAGCAAGAAAATTAGAATAATGTGGCGGTTATTTTTAACGTTAGCACCATGGATAGCGATTTGACAGTTTGTTCAGATGGACGAGTCCATCTATGTTCGGAAAAGAGGAGGGGAGAGACGAAAATAATGGATGCGGTCTTAAAGCCACCGTAAGCGTAAACAATCAATTAAGACTAGAAATGGTTTATCAAATCCTTCCAATGATTTCTAATCCAGAATCCATCTTCTCGGTTGAAATTGTCTCTGTGTTTATATATGTGGATAAGCCTCATGAACGAATCTCTCATGGTAGCCAGATGGCTTGCATTCGTGAACACAAAGCAGACCTAAAACACGGTAGAACCAACACCTCGGCCGTGGCAGATCACTGTTATAATTCAGTAGGCTCACATGACATTGACGTCTCCAAGACAGAGGTTATTTGCAAGTCATCTGGCTACCATGAGATTCGTTCATGAGGCTATCCACATATACAAACACAGAGATAATTTCAACCGAGAAAATGGATTCTGCCTTAGAAATCATTGGAAGGATTTGATAAACTATCTCGGGTCTTGTTCACGCTTACGGTGGCTTTCAGACGGCATCCATTATTTTCGTCTCCCCCCTCCTCTTTTCCGAACATAGATGGACTCGTCCATCTGAACAAACTGTCAAATCGCTCTCCGTGGTGCTAACGTTAAAAATAACTGCCACTTTTTTATTTTCTTGCTGTGGTTTTCACACCTGATGATGATAGCTTGTGTTGCAGTCGAAACGTCGTGAGAATTTAATTGTTTTATATTTTTATTATTTTATTGTTTCCCTTGTACGTGACTTTATCGAAAGAACCAAGAATATGAATCCCTGCAGTCACGAAAGCTTTAAATCAAAATTTAAATAGACGCGGTTTATTCCATCATCTATTTTGTTATTTAAGTCAGAATGTGTTTTGTCAACTGCTGTGTATACCTGCTGTGTGTTTGCGTATATGTACAAGGAGCTCTGCGTGTGATGCGGCTCTCAAACTATTTTGGGCAAAGACAACAAAAAATTGCTGCCCTTCTTTGAAAGGTTACAAACCCCTAGGCCAGACGACGCTCTCCTGCCATGTAGAGACGTCAAGCACACGAGGTGTCCAGGCTCTGGCGGTGGTGCCCGTCATCATGCGTTGCACTCGCAGGGGCATTGACACGGCCCGAGCAGGAGACCGTTTGGCCACTCGTTGCTGGATGCTGTGCGGTTCAAACCCAGCGGCCGCCCTGGTTAACGCTGTGGGTGTTAACAGTAAAGTGCTACTGCTGCTATGACTACTGCTACAACGCACCGTCTGCTTCACGCTGAACGCTAGAGGTCCCGCGATTTATCATTCGAAAAAGGACTAGAGGCCCATTGTCGTGCCGGCGACAAGGCCCGAATTTGCCAAATTTGAAAAATCTCGGAGCAAATAACTCGCCTGGGATTACACGCGCGGCAACATCGCCCTCTCCTGGCAGACGCCACCCGCCTGTGAAACGCCGCACCTTCGTGACGGCCCCGAGTGGTTCACAACGATGCGAATACCGAATCCACTAAATTGTCGTCGTCGTTGTAACGAACTGTTAGGTGCGTTTTAACATTCGAGTAAGCTCTCTGGCGGTCCGTTGCTTGTGCTCTGCTATGTCACGTTGGCGCTGGAGGCTGGAGGAGGAGGAGGAGTGGTGTCCGCCGTCCCTTCTTCAGGAGGAGCTGTGTGACCTGCGGCTCTCACTTGTCGAGGCCGAGAGGCGATCAATGCCCCAGCAACTGCCTGGCAACATCAGGGGCCTCCAGGAGTGTCTGGACCAGATACAAGTAAGCAAAGGGGGTTTACGTTCTAGATTCATGTTTGCCAGGTCGCTGTTAGACCTAAAGTAGGCACGAGGCTCATAGGCCCGGAAGCCATTACGATAGGTATACTGGATGTGGTGTGTTGGGTTGTGTCTATGTTCTGTGTTGATATGGACCGCACAGACCCGGCTTAATTTGAGCCCTGCAAGTAAGGTTGTTACTGGTTTCTAGTCGGTGCTCTGTCAGTGGAGGAAGAGCAAAACCCACACGAACTCTCTTCTAACGGCTTCGACAGTTGCACACAGTCCGTCGTGCTCTGACTGTCGAGACTGCTACAAGTAAAAGGCCATGCGGGGAGGGCTTGTGGTACAATTTGGCACCAGCTATCGTGGAGTGCGGTCGTGTCTCTACGGTTTTCTGCGGTGAGTAGCGATGTCTTTTAAAAGCAGCGGGCGCTACGCCTCCCCTAAACAAAATTTACGCTGAACTGCTTGCGTGTTCCGAGATTCGGCGGTGAATGAAAACACCGCACCGTGTTAATAATTCACACGGGCACACAGTGGCTTTTCATGTTAAACCTAATGTTCCAAGTGGTAGGAGGATACAAACGCAGGGCAGCTTTCACGAATACATTTCTATCCATGTTTTTCTACTTCGTGGTCAGCAAGTTTTTAGTTTTGGCCCTTGCGGTAATGGCAGGGACCAGCGCTAATTGGCTAAAGCAAGCCAATACTCTGCTGGCACTTGCCTAGTTGAACCCCTGAGGCATTCTTCAGGGCACAACATTTCGGCGTGAGACTTGACGATTTGCTGCCTGTATATACAGTGAAACCTTGGATTGCGAGCATAATTCGTTCCGGAAACGTGCTCGTAATCCAAAGCACTCATATACCCGTAAGAAATAATGGAAACGCAGATGATTCGTTCCACAACCCAAAAATACTGTATTCATATAAAAATGATTAATACAAAATACCTTTTATATTTTTTCATTATTTAAATTTAATATAAAATGATCAAATTTATTAATTACATTTAATCGTGGCTGGTGTGAGGGAGACGAGAGAGAGGAGGGTTATTGTGTAGGACGACTTTCACTTGCAGTACAGTTACTAAAGAACAGTCGCTACACTTGGACACAAAATAAAAAATGCTTTACGCACACACACGTGGTCACAACACTATAGTACTGTAGTAAACAGTATACACGTGGTCACAACACTATAGTAAACAGTATACACGTGGTCACAACACTATACAATACTGTAGTTAACATTATACACGTGGTCACAACACTATAGTACTGTAGTAAACAGTATACACGTGGTCACAACACTATAGTACTGTAGTAAACAATATACACGTGGTCACAACACTATAGTAAACAGTATACACGTGGTCACAACACTATACAATACTGTAGTTAACAGTATACACGTGGTCACAACACTATAGTACTGTAGTAAACAGTATACACGTGGTCACAACACTATAGTACTATAGTAAACAGTATACACGTGGTCACAATACTATAGTACTGTAGTAAACAGTATACACGTGGTCACAACACTATAGTACTGTAGTAAACAGTGTACACGTGGTCACAACACTATAGTACTGTAGTAAACAGTATACACGTGGTCACAACACTATAGTAAACAGTATATGCTCGCACGGATGTTGACTATACGAGTGAGGCACGCCGACTGAGACTGAGCATGGGAGACGATTACCCACAATCCCGCAGCGAGAGAGAGACAGAGAAACGAACCATTGGCTCAGTTGTGATCACGTGACGCTCGGCAGACAAAGCGTATACTGCACGTACTGCTCGTATTGCAAGACATTGCTCGTTTATCAAATTATTATTTATTAAAAAATGTGCTCGTCTTGCAAAACACTCGCAGGCCAAGTTACTCGCAATCCAAGGTTTCACTGTAGATTCAAAAAAAATAATATTAAAACAATATACATGAAAAAAGCCAACATTTCCGCCGCAATTATTTTTTTCCACGCTTGCACGGGCGTGCTCGCGCGTCCATGGTGTACGTGCGCTAATGCCCCAGCGGTGTTTTTGCACTTGAGGACGCTCGCAGTGCACCTAGCCCGGCACCGTTTATTAGAGACCGATGATGGTCGTCGCTTCTTGTGTGCTGCTGCGGTGGCTGCGCTTCGCCGGCCTTTGACCTGGAGGCCAAGGGGACACGGGGGTTACGACATGAAAATGAGTGATTATTTGGATTCTGGCCTCATCCGTGATCTCGTCAGGTGCTTAAAGTAAGCGGGGGACTTTGTATTTTCCGCTCGATGAAATTTCACGACGACAATGTTTTTTTTTTTGTGTGCACGCATTGGGCACACGCACAATACGGCGATGTCGATGCATTTCGCGGTTCTCTATCGGCAGGCCGCAGTGCCAACGGCCGCGGACGTGAGTCGGCCTTAAACGTACGCGCCGGCCGCTTCGCTTGCGGTGGACGTTGAAGATCCGGCGACGTCATTTGAACAGACTGGGCCTTGAGCGAGCCGCATGGTCCAAATGTGCCCGATTTAAAGATTACCCAAATGGGGTTACACGGAGCAATCATTGCCTTCTTCCCCCGCCCCCTTTACTGGCAATACCAATTCCCACATGCAGGCCATGATGTCCAGTCTGCCTCGTGCCGCAACAGGAGCACCCCCAGTGGCAGCTGTCCTTACACACGTGTGGAAATGAGATATGTGTGAAGTGCTGCGAGATGCCCCGGGCATGTAGGGCACTTTATAATAAAAAAAATACAATTATTATTCATAATAATCATTTACATTTGCAAAGCGCATTTCACATATGAAAATCCGGAAATAACCAAAACCTGCGGGGTCAACGGCCAGAACTAAGCGGGAGGGAGGGGGGGTGAGTGAAGGCCAATTTAAAGAGATGAGTTTTTGCAAGACAGCACTTGCTGTAAATGTCTCCAACGACTACTGATTGTCTCTTCATTTAGCAAAGTCAAAGCGTTTCAAAGCGCGGGAGCTGCACCGGCAAAAGCTCCTCCCCCCCCCCCCCACCAACCCACCTTCCCACGATAACACCCCCAGTAAACGAGGCCCCGTCACCTCCCGGCGATGTCGACGCGTGTGCGTTGCAGGTGTGCGTCGACGAGCTGCCCGCGTGGAGGGAGCGCCTGGAGAGGCTGCGCGAGAGCGCGCAGGAGCAGCCGGCGCCGGAGGAGGAAGAGGAGGTGGAGGAGCTTGGGACGGGAGACGCCAAGGCCGTCTGGGCAATGCCCGACGACGAGCTCTCCAGCCTCTTCCACCTGTGGGACAAGGTAGGGAGGGAAGCCCTTCACCGCCCCCGCCCCACCACCACCACCACCACCCGCCTTCGCTCGCTCAAAGTCATAGACGTCGTCTTGGCCGAAGGGCCCCGTCGATGCCCACCGCACCGTGAGCCCAAAGATAACGGTAGCGCAGCGATCCCGTGAATCACAAATGCGGATTTCGCACGCGCGGTTTGTTTCAATCTATCTTGGGCCCAGAAATCGATTTTGAATCGATGAAACGGACGCACTGTCACGTGTGGTCATGTGAGTAGGAACAAATAGAAACAGATCTCCGTGCTGTGTTTCCACGTAAAAAAAATTTTTTTACTAGTTCTATTGGCTTTCCAGACGAACATTGTTCGGCAAGAATATTCTGCACCGGTTTCGACCTTGGTCTCATAATTTCTTTAGAACTGCTTTGTGTGTTTAGTTTGTAGTTGTTCACCCACACCTCCGATCAGGACGGTTGGAAATGAATTCAGCATGCGTACATCAGCAGAATCGGGCTGGTTAAACAAATGCTGTTGGGTTATCAGATGTTATTGGCAATGGCACTCCACCTGAACCGCGGGGTGTTGTTCTTAAACGTTACATTCAACGGGGTCCCGGACGAGTGTTTGTGTTTATACTTTACACTCCTATAACTTTCTGACCCACCCGACCGGGACACCTGTGAAAAGTAGCATCACAGCTCGTCGGAGACCTTCTCCAGTCCCAAATAAAGATTCTGATAACTGGTCGCTTGCGGGCACCTCCTCCCTCCACCCCACCCCACCCCTCCACCAGGTGTCGCACGAGTTGCCGGCTCGCTGGCGTGAGGTGGAGGGGCTGCTCCACTCGATGTCGCGCCTCGACGAACGCTCGGGGAAGCTGCTGCCGGCGCTCGCCGCCGCCCGGACGCGGCTGTGGGCGTCCCGCGACGAGGCTCCACCACCGCCACCGCCGGGATCCGGCGTGCAGGTGCGCGCGCGCGCGGTGGAAGGATTCTCGCAAGGGCTAACCCTTTGCCATTTCGACGACGTACGATTCCGTCGCGACGATGTTGACACGCACACGCGCGTCATCGGGATGGAATCGGAAGTAAAAAGGCGCGCGGGGAAGGCGCGTGGCACGGTTTGGCGCCAGCTATCGTAGAGTGTGGTCGTGTCGCTACAGTTCTATGCGGTGAATGCAATGTCTTTAAAATCAGCGGGCGCTATGCCTCCGAAATTAACGCTGAACCACTTGCGCGTTCTGAGATTCGGCAGTGAACGGGACATCCAACCTGTAACTTGCTGTTTCGGCATGGGGAAAGGGTTAAAGTCACCAGCATAAATGCTCTCAATTGAACGGTGCACCGGATGAGCGAAATATCTGCATGTTTTGAAAATGTGTTGTGCTGTAATCCGGCGCTGTAGAAGCAGCAGGGGTTGGTCTATCGGATTAATGACAACATGTTGAGAGACTCAAATTCCCGTGGGCATCGCAGCGCAATATCCTGGCTCGTCAGCAGAAAGTATGACAGCAAAGTGTGGACTGATATTATCTGTCCCTTCCGTACGAGATGGAGCGTTGCCCCCTCGCATACGGGGTGGGGGGTGGGGGGTGGAGGAGAGAGCTTTATCAGTCAGAATTTCATCCATCAGCCATGTATAAATAATATATTTGCAAATGTAACAATGTTGTCGGGTGGTTGGAGTGTCAATGACAAGAATTTTGGCATAAAACTGCCTCCAACCGCGTGGCCTAACCTAAAAAAACAAATCTGGGTCATGCCAGGGAGGTGGTAAGATTGGGCAACAGAAATTGCACCCGCAGTTGGACACCAGGCTCGTAGTGTGGTGTGCGAACCACTGCACCCACAGAGCCCCTCCCTCCTTTAAGATATAGTATTTTATTCCTGAAATAAACTTTATTTCCCTTTTGGGCTAAATATTTCATAAGTGGGGCCTGTGTAAAAATGTGATTGTAGCGTTCAATCTAGCTTTTTGCGGCAGAGGAAAACCCAAGTCCGTGCTCCGTGAATTAAAAACAGCACTTCTTGATGGCATTGGCAATGTCGTTATGAGTAAAAGTGCGAGAGTAGCACTTAAAATTCAAGCTGCGCAGACCTCGCACTGTTTGACATTTGAAAACGCCGCAGCTGAGCGCTGCTGAAAATAGACCGCGGATGGCCATTGTCGTTAGCTGCCCAGTTGCTGCTTACTACCCGTCACTTTGCCCACTACACACGCGATTGATTAACTCCAACTACGCATGCAATTTGTATTAATCAAAAAAATAATATCCTCACGTACACCAAGTTGATGTGTGTACCACGAACATGAGAAATTGTAATTGATGGGCCCGATGGTGGCTCCTCTATATTCCTGTTGCAAGCATTGGTATCACTCGCCCCCCCCCAACCCCCCCCCCCCCCGGCTCTTGCGCGCATTTTGTGCTGACGAGGGCCAAATAGGCCAATGGACTAAATTGTAATTTTATGTTTATGTGATGAAACAGACCCTTGGCTCTTTGTCATTTATTTACCCACAAGCCAAACACGTACATGGTTAACAGAGGGGCGGTGCTGCAAATTCCATTATTTATCGCACTTTGATTCCACACATCTACGCTCGGTTTGGCTTTTGCGACCGATATCATCCATAATACAGCCAATTAGTAAGGTTAGTCACGAAAACAGAACATTCTAATTTGCTACGAGGACAGCACACAGGCGTGTTGGAGAGGTAAATCCGCAATATTTACGATCGACGCTCACCCATCTATATTCTCAGCGCCTTGACCGACCCAAACTGAGCGGCGTGGTGAAGTGCGGTGAAATAGTGCTCATGACATGCACAGCATGGGCAGGTCCCCTCATCCAAGAGAACTCTATCCAACACGACGGAAACACCGTCACACTTTTTTGTTACAATGCTCGCGGCCCGTGCGATCCGATGCCACGCCTCGCAGTGCCAGTGAGAGCCACGAGAGGGGGCCCTTGTAAGGCCAACCGATCGTCACCGCTAACTCATCATTCGCAAGCTATATCCACAAGGTGGCGGGCAGCGAATGTTAATATTTCAACATGATAGGCATTCATAAATCAAGCCCCTCTCCTCGACCGACGCCTCCCCATGCATGCCGTGTCAGTCATGGAATTTGTTTGACCATACTTCACCGCACTGAACAGTGCGATTTGTTATCCACGTAGCCAGGCTCCAGTGCTGGTTCAGATATCACTCGCCACTGATGTTAGCCTTGGACGGGCTGCGGATGGGAAGCAAACCTTGGTGATCAGGTTCAAAAACGCATGTGCTAACTGCTCTGCCACCGCCCCCCCCCCCCACGACCAAAGTAAACCCACGTGTTAGAAAATAATAAATTGTAATTACTGTACTCGTCTGTAAACACACGATACTGGCCCCTGCAGCCTTGCGAGTTTAGTGACCTTTAATTAAAGAGCATGGCTGTAACCCAACAAAACAAGGGCACAGACAATTACGCCCGGCGCTGTTGGAAAGCCAACGTGAGGGGGGGGGGGGGGATCATCGCCGGCGTTGAACGGCGCCGGAGCCAGCAATGCTGCTTGGCCGTGGATTCTCGGATGGCGCTTCGGAGGATGAGCCTGGCTACGTGGATAAAACACCCGCGGGGCACACGGTATCCAGCGGGCGCCAGGTTATAACGCGGCCCTTGCCAGAGGACAATTGGTGCACGGTGAAAAATGGGCTACGGGGCCCGCGCACTGATGGGGGAAGGCTGGAAGAGCGATTTTATCATCGTCGTCATATTTTATTACCTATGACCAAATCACCAGCTTCGAGCTCCGTGCTTGGATCGGTGACCAGCAGACGGTCACTCCAGCAAATTCCGCTGTTGTACTGTACTTCTACGGCCCCCCTCTTTACGCTCACCGCGTTCACCAAGCTGCACTCACCAGTGTGGCGAAGAACGGTCATTTAACCCTGGCTTTGAATATCTGGATTGCTTGCCGCGCGTGATAAAATCCAGGTTCTCTCAGGGGTTGTTGGTCTCTCTCCAAGTCGCGAAAGGAGTGCACAAGAAACGATCACATTAAATACAATTTGCCGTGTGGATGGCGTACATGTAGGCCGTGTCTGCTTGATGAGGGATTATCGGAATTTTCGCGTAGAACGCTGAACGCGCGTTTCTACAAGTCGTGCAGTAATTTAAAGTGCGTTCTTTAAGTTAAGTTTTGTTCATGCCAAGGAAGGCTGCAGTCTGCTTTGCTTCTCAACCCTGCCATGTTTTTGGCTCCCGTTTATCAAAAGGAGAGGGACCAAAAAAGTTAGAACTGTAAAATTTGGGTTTACACTTAATTTGGCTCAATTCCACATCTGGGAATTCCAAACACCGATTTGGGTTTACAAACAATATCACAGTGCAGCCTGTGGGGGAGTCCACCCTGTACTGTGTAATGGCGATAAAAAGGCCACTCGAAAGAAATATTTTGGAGAGGTCCCATAATCACCATGGTGTGAGACGTTATCTCCCTCGCCCGGTATATTTTGACTTTGCATGTTCTCCCCGTGGTCGTGTAGGTTTTTTTCCGGGTCCTCCGGTTTTCCCTCAACAGTTATAAAATGTGCGTTTCGAGTATAATTTGGCTGTTCCAAATTTCCACGCAATAAGCCACTCCATTCAGCTAACATTTGTGGCCAGGTCGTATCTGAACATGGAATAAAAAAAATATCAAGGCACGTGCCAATAATACAATCGGAATAAACTATGGGGGGAAAAGGAGGGTATAATTTCTTTCCATGGTATATGTCCCATGTGCTTGGCCTTTTTCAAAGCGCTGAAATGCTGATGAGGAAAACGTTCTAAGAAATAACATAAGATATGAAAGTATGTGAAAGTAAGAGTACCCAGTATAGTTTTTTTTTAATTATTGATAAGAATCAATGATTTGTAATGCGGGACATGTACGAAGTGATAACTTTAACGTTTTTATCTCCACAGAAGCAGGATGGTTTGGTGCCTTTTGACCTTTCTGCCGTGAACACTTTGTTGGCCGAGGCAGAAGAAATGGAACGTGCAGGTGTTTTACCAGACGAGCTTAAGGTGATGTGTTCAATGCTAACAGGGAGGATCGAACACAAATGCTTGTGACTTCTCGTTGATATACACCAGTTCGGTGAATGGCAGTGGTATTTTGTAAAGTAGGTTGATAGTGGCCTGCTGAAAGTCTGCATTTTTCCACAATTCACAAGGGAGGTGACATTGCATGGCCGTGAAGTCATTTTGTGAAAATTTTACTTGGCTATTATCTGATTAGCTGTCCTACGAAGCAATGCGAAGTGTCCTTTTTATTATTAATATTCTAAGAGTATCGTTAAAATTTTTCGGGCGATATTCACATCTTGACAAAACGGACAATGCATTGCCTTGGCAGCGCTCAGGCCTGGCCACTGAAACTGGTGCCAACCCTGGGCAATCATAATTATCAAGAGTGGTTTCATCATTTAAAGTGGTGGTGCTCACCAGATCAATAATAATTGTTTGTGGTGGAGACATCAGCTTTTTTTTTAATGGACAAAAAATAACATCAATATTATGGGGGGGTTTTTTATGCATCATGATCAGATGATCATGCAATTTTACACAGTTTTTTTTAAGGGGTTGTGTTATACAGCTCTCTGCATTTGCGGGTTGTTTACCGTGTCGTTCGGCACGATGTCCGACGTTTCGCGCTCCATGCATTTGAGAGCCTCTTCAGCAACTGGGAGATTATTGAGGAACCGAAGCTCCCCAGCACGTGGGGCGAAACGTCGGACATGGTCTCAAACAACTCGCGGTACAACCCGAAAGCACATTGGAGAGCTAAACAATAAATATATTTAAATAATACGAGTATCTTGTCTTGGCAAAAGCCTACCGAGCCCCTGTGTTGTCTCTGGTGCAAGGGAACACATGGCATACCTATTTGAGAGGCGGGTATTACATCATGCTCGTAAAATGACATATCACTGTTGTTGTGTTTACAGGTCACAGTGAGGAATTTGCATACTGAATGGTTGCAGTTTAATGAGCTGATGCGAGGCCTTCCAATAGCCAATGAAGAGAAGCCTTGCTTTGCTGATGCAGGTATCTGGCCCACATCACATACAAATAAATTACTTAAAAACATAAACTAGCTCAAGCTCTAAAACTCAATTTCCATTTTGAAGTGTTACGGTTTAATGGGTGGGGATATTTCTATTTTGGAAGTAATAAATATGCACTTTGCTTTGAATAAAAAGTCACCTGCGTTTCTTGAAAAGTCATCATTTTTGGCCCTAAGTAGTGCAATGACAAGCCTGCTAAATAAATTGCAGGCTGCTATCTTACAGGAATTTTTACTACCCCCCCCCCCCTTTCTTGATCACGAATTTGTTGAATAATATACGCTGAAACATGCAATTTGCAGACAGGCGAGGGTCTGTGGTGCGATTTAAAATTATGCCGTGTGCGCTTCCGTGCTCCCGTGTCTCCTTACTCGCTCACTGTGTGTGTGTGTCCTTTGGTTCTTCCTTCCATCCATTTATCTGCACATCTGACCCTCCCTCTCGCCCTCCTTATTTCGTCTTCTTTCAAGTGCCTCTTCTTTGAACGATAAACTGTCTTCAAGAAATATGAAAATTGGCTTTTTTTTAAATCATGATTAGGCTTAAGTTATATTCTTAGTTTTGCAAACCGACACACCTGATGATGACCGTTTGAGTTATGGTCGAAACGTCGTGAGAATTTTTTATTGTTTTATATATATTTTGTTATTTTGTTGTTTCTCTTCAACGTGACTTTACCGAAAAAACTAAGAATATGAATTACTGCAGTCACGAAAGCTTTAAATCAAAATTTAGGCTTAAGTTATTTTGGGGGCGTGTAGAGTCGAGCACTGCTCGCCCAATGGCACGCAGTGTAATTTATCTTCCTGTGGCAACATAAGCTTCGGCTACTATGACAAGTTCTGAGTGGGATATTACTTGTAAAGTGACGGTTTAATAATCAAAGACGCTGAATATTTCAACACAAAAGTTGACTTTCAAAGGCAGTGTGTCTGCATTTGTTTACTTTCACATTAAAGTTCCTGATAAAGAGTTTTACGCTACATTATGCTCGGTGGCATTCACTCACTAATATGCAAATATGGAGGTGATCGTTGCGAATTTGCACTCGTATATGTTTATTCAATTAGAATTCGGGAAACTATAATAACATGCTAATTCAATATAATCTGTTAATTGCTTACTGATGTTTAATTAAACTAATATTTGTTGAAATTTTGACTTAACTTTCGTGACTGCAGGAATTCATATTCTATGGTTCTTTCGGTATAGTCACGTAGATAGAAAAATAATAATAAATAAAAATAAAGTGGTTAATGCCATCACCCCAACTGTGAGAAAGGAGCCATATGAGGATCCAATCAAAACCACCTTGCCATATATTGCAGGGGTAACCAAAAATATTTCCAAAACATGAACAAACACAAGATCCAGGTCCGATTTAACACAGTACATAAAATTCGTGATCTGATCCCATCTGGGAAGGACAAGATTCCTGACATGCAATATCCCGGCGTCTACAAACTAAATCTGTATCTGCGGCAGCAGTTACATTGGGGAAACTAAGCGACATGTCTCGGACCGTGTTCGTGAGCATAAGGCAGATTTGAAACACGGTAGGACCAATACTTTGGCCGTGGCTGATCATTATTTTAATGTGGCTGGCTCACACGAAATTGATTTCTCTAAGATAATGGTACTTTGCAAGCCTACTGGCTATCAACAAAGATTCGTTCATGAAGCCATTCATATTTACAGACACAATTTCAACTGAGAGGATGGTTATAAGCTCAGCCATCATTGGAAAGAAGTCATCAACCACTTTGGGTCATGACTTGATTTGTTTTCTTGTCAACCTCCACCGTCAGCAGTGTTGGTGTGTGGAGCGAGGTGCAATGGTTTGATTGGTGTAGACCTCCTGCCGGTGTCAGAGACCTCTCCTACATTAACATTATCTGCCCCGCCCATCTCTAAACCTTTATAAACAGCTTGCCCTCAGAGGCTAACCTCCCTGTTCCTGATGACGACCGCTTGTGTTGCGATTGAAACGTGATATTTTTAATCACTTTTTTAATTATAATTTTTTTTCTATCTATGTGACTTTACTGAAAGAACCATAGAATAGAATATTTGATCATCAGTCCATGGCTGGATCAAGGCCTGTTGTGTTAGTATGTGCCAAGTAGTTTACATATATATAAATGTTCTTTCGGACACATTCCATTTCAGGCCCTGCTCAAACCCACTTACTTTTCTTCACAGTGAACTATTCACGTGTTCCACTGTACGTTTCTCTCTTATTCCAAGTGTGCGTCTCTCCATGCGTCTTTGTGCATTTTCCAGTTGTTCCATTGTTTTGCGAGTGGATCACGTTTAGGAACGATGTCAGAGGGTGTTATGTTTAATATTACAATCGTCTTGTGTTTTAAGGGCCTTCGATGGACGTCGCGAGGGTTTTTGCGACGCCAGTGTCTATGAAAAGCGGTCCAGTCGTTGAGCAGCACCACCATCTTGCAACATGCAAGGACGATGCCTTCCCAGAATTCCAAGCGCGCGTTGCAGGGCTCTCCGATTGGTTGGCTGAGCTTGAGAAAAGATTGACACCACAACCCGTGACCTTTGGTGACGTCGATGACATAAACAGGGAGATTAAAAAGCTAAAGGTAAAATAACATCAAATGTACACATTCATTACATTGGCTTGTGCCCAATACATGAAGATTCATAAAGGATACATATGCATACCAGAAAGCACTCAATATCGTCATTCACTTGTCAATTAAAACATGCTTACAGCCCTTTTATCAAAATGCCGCACGGGTCATGGGAAATCTATCACCGTACTTTACCACTCTAAGTGTGACTTGGTTAAAGCAGGGAGCATAAACGTGGGAAACATATCATGGTGCAACAGTTAATTTTGCTGCCCTGCCCTGGCCTTCGATGAAAGCAACACTAAATATGCAACTACAGCGGGCACACCAGTGTAAGTGACATCAGGAGTATGACGGTTCAACCTCCCCGGGGAAATTCGATGAAGTGTCATCGCAGTTTAGTGTCGTCATCCAGTTGAATATTTTTGCTGAATGCAGTGGCCACCAAACTGGCTGCGGGTTGATGCGTGAAACCCATGACATGAAGCGTAACCTTAATCGAAGAACATCGATTATTAGACACTCGACTTAATGCGTGTATTGTGAGCTTGGGAGTCGATTTTATAGATCGGCGAGTCAATGTATAGTTACACTGCGCAAGCTAAATGTTAGCGCAGTGTAAAGACTTTCTTCTCATCTCAGTCTCAAAATGTTTCTGTGGTATAACATTTGCATTGGCGTGGAGCCAAAATCAAATACGTATGGTCTACTTGCTACATTTCATATGTATGCAAATTCGGGCATTTGTAGAATAAAAAAATAATATCTCAGTAAATAAAACTTGGGTGTTTTGATGTTTGACTTCCATCACCGTGTATATTTGTGCGTGTGTGCGTGCTTCCCGGCAGGCTGTTATGCGTGATCTGAACCTCAAACGGCCGCAGTTTTATGAGGTCATGACATCAGTTGAGAAAATCCGTGCTGGGCCATCACGTCTCCGCTCCAACGGTTTGTATCAAATTGTTTCCTGGCGTTAACCTCACGGTCGCTGCCTCTTCTGTTTATCCGCGCATATTTTTTACTGCGGGGCATTAAGAGAGATAACTTTCAAGGGAGCCGTGCGTCTGCTTGTGATTTTTTTTTATCCCAGTAACACCTACCTCCCCCGTTCACCTTTTTGCCGTCACATAAATTGGATAGGCGTGGTGTTGCGCGGTGAAAACATTGCCGTTGCGATTTTCTGTGCAGATGGCGTAAGTGTTGACTACGTTTGTTCGGTCAGAGAATGATGGGCATTTTCGCGCGGACGCCATTTGTTTTCTGGAAGTCGCTTGGTGACTTAAAGTTAAATGTGAATTTTGTCTTCTTTGGTTCTTTCGGTAAAGTCACGTAGAATGAGAATAAAATGAAAAAATAAAATAAGACAATAAAATTCTCACGACGTTTCGGCCACAACACAAGTAGCCTTCTTCAGGTGAAAGAACAGAACTTTCGGGACGACAGAGCTTCAATTAACGCAGCGTTAAATCGAAACGTGAATTGTGTTTAATGCCAGGGAAGGTGCCAGTCTTCTTTTATTCTCAAAAAACGTTTTTGGCTCCCGTTTTCCACACCCCGACGCAGCAACCGTTGCAGCCTTCCCCTCAACACTTTACATCGATCGCTCATGTCATCCCGTCGGCTTCGAGAGTCATCCCCATAAAGCCACGCTGGCCAAAGCAACGCAAGCCACTTACGTTCCTGGCAAGAGCTGCCGCCGCTGGTGACTTGGGAATTTTGTTTGGTTACCAGAGCACGCAGTGCGTCACATTGCGTGTCATCTTCAGGCTGAAGCACCACATCATGATCGAGAACTTCTCGGGTCGGCTTGACCCATGTCGTCCACATGATGTCAAGTTCAAGGATATTTGTAGAACCATCTTTGCTCGTCGCCGAGAACTTCTCGGGTTGGCTTGACCCATGTCGTCCACATGATGTCAAGTTCAAGGATATTTGTAGAACCATCTTTGCTCGTCGCCGACGTCTGCGTTTTTGTGTGTTGTTGTTGTTTGTGACACTGAAGCGGCAACACAATTACGCATGGGGCGGCACACCTTGAGCGTGCCCCGGCATTTACGGTGACAAATTAATCAGATTTGCATTATAAACAGAGGTGCCTCGGCTGAAATTGCGGTTGGAAGCGAGCAGGCTAATTAATTTAGACACGCCGGCATGTGCGCACTCACGGCGCAAAAGTCCGCGGACGAACGTGCGGTGCGTGAAGCTCACCGCGGCGGAACACAATTAACCATTTCGCACGCGATTTCTCAAACAAAGGCCTGCAAAGTGGCAATTCCTGCAGCGAGTGGAGTTTTTCTCAAAGTTAACTTTTTATCGCCGTCTCGGGGTCAATCAGCCGTGAACGTTAAAAAGCCTTGAAATGAGCAAATAACGATCCATTGATTAATCAATTACAATTGATCCTTGTGCTCAAGGTGAAAATGTAAAAAAAAGTGTAGGGAAAGGTGCAGTCCTGCAATTACTTGCTCATTCCACTGCTGGCTGAAGGTCTTCCACCAGAAGGAGGTCAAGAGAGCTCCTTCTAGAGAGGGTATATTTTCATTCTCCTCCACGATGACCGTACTTCTTGAAAGAGGAGGAAGTACTCGCAGTTGACCCCGCCACACGTGACCCGGCCATCGAATTGTGGCGTACCCGTTTATACTGCTGGGTAGATAGAGGTGGAGGGAATTGACAGGAAAAAAAAAATACATCGCCATTGTTTCGACTTCCATGCCGGGCATTTGAACCGGCGGACGTCTGGGTTGCAAGTCCAGCGCGTGCTGACCTTTAACATCACGGCAGCATCCACGCCTCTCAATGCTAGTGTAGTATAATAGCGCCAGCTGGTGGCCAGCAGCGGCAACTGTGGTGGACAAACAGTACACATGCCGGTGAGCATACACACGGCTGTGTCGGCAGGGTGGTGGAACTTGGGCAAGGGTCATGGGGATCCCCATCTGGAAGCCCCTGGAACCTGCTAGTGGGTTCGAGAAGGGAGCCGCGGCCAGGGCGGAGCCAGGCCGCGCTGGGAGCATAAAAGAGGCCGAGAGCGGGAGCTCGAGGCTGCCGCTTCTGGGATTGGATCATCTCCTCGTTGCTGTCGTCTCGTCGTCATCGTCGCTGCCGTCTTCACTCGATATTGCGCTGCTAGATAGTTGTTGGCTGTCTCCGTCAGCGCCGTCGGTGTTTGACGGCTAGCGTTGTGTATAGACTAGCGACTGTAGAGTGTGCAGGCGAGAGCGTGGGTGTTCAATACAGAAGGTCCCTCTACAATCCTCGTCTCAGAATCACTGACACTACACTTGCATGGAGTCGCACGTTGTAAGAATGGATGGTTTAATTCGCGTATGTATTTAACCCTTTCCGGTCTCGTTTATCGCTGAATCTTGAAATGCGCAAGCCCCTACTCTGCTGTGTTTGCGAGTGAATGTAGGAATTACAACTCTGCCAGATAAGAGCGCTGCTGACTGAGGCTCTGTGGTGCCGATTGGGTCCTATCTCTTGACAGATACACACAGGGCCCTCTACAAGGCACTCTCTCCAATGCTTATATTATTTTGCCCTTTGTTCAATTATTCAGCTGGTGCGAGGATTGTAGCTTGATACATTATTTCTGGTGCGTTTCTCCCCGGCGCACGAGGGCACAGCGTATTCTTCTACCAAACTATCGCGCTGGTTATTATCACGGCATATCACAAGATTGTTTTTTTTAGGTAAAATTGTGATGAGATCCTGGGTTGAAATGATGTACAGTAACAGAGTTTAGCCGTGATTTTAGCCGAGATCTCAAGTGTAAATAGTTGCTAGCTCTCAGTCCAGTCAGTAAAGGCTGCACGGAAAACATTAAATGCACTTAACTTAATTTCTTAATTAGGAATTCAATTCCCAAACCATGGCTGACATTCGTGGCGTGCGATATCTGAACGGGTCCTGTGTCCCCCCCCCCCTCACCCTTTCACCAAACTGCACTAACCAGCATGGGGAAGTATGGTCAAACAAACCCGCATGACTGTCATGGTGTGGGGTGGTGGTGCACTCGTGTGTTTGGTGTGCGTACGTGGGGAGCATGCGCTGTGATCCAAGCCTCTCCTGGGTTCAATTCCTGAGCACAGCTGAAGTGGCCTGTGGAACCGGTAGAGCTGTGGCTTCTCTTTGGGTGACTTTAATGGGTTTCCAACAATCTGTTCACGGCCAGCACTGGGGAGACAAAGGTGGCCAGGATTGGTATAGGCAATGCAAACCCTTGGTGACTTAAATCAATAACTTGTAATGCTGACTCTCGTTTTCACCATCTCGTTTGCATTTGTTCTCGTTTATTCCATCTCGTTCGCACAGTTATATTTGCTTGGTTACCCTAAATGTAAGGGTTGCATATGATGTGGATTTTACTTGATGAACTGGACTAATTGTTATGCACATGAGTTGATGAATATATATTCCAAGTGCAAGAATCGATTTATTTTATGAATGGGCGTGTTTTATTCAATGAAATAATGCATCGTTGCTTCACATGTAGGTTTGCTCGGCCAATAAAAATCATAATTTGTAATTGAAATTCTGAGAACAAATTTAGCTACTTGCTAAATTGTGTTGTCAGACTCGTTCGTTAACTCACCGGTAAGCCAAAACGATAACAATTGGCGCGTTAAACGCTTGGTCACGCCACAGTTAAATTACTTTTGGCTTTGTCGGGTGGTGGAGGATTCTTAGACACAAATGTGGTCGGATAATTAGTGGGCCTTCTCCAAAATCCCATTCTGAATCGTACATCATTGAGTTCCCACCACTGAATAGAGGATCGTTGTCCTTGTACGTCTGTGCATTTCATTCTATTCAATAATACATCATCGCGTTCCTATTACTGAACAGAGGCTTTTTCTCCCTTTCTGCGTGTGTGCATGCGTGCGCGTGTGCATGCAGTGGAACGCCTTGGCGACGGCCTGTGCCAGGCCGAAACCGACTTGAGTCGCCGTGTGCAGACGCTACAGGCCATGTTCCTCGATTCGAGCCTCTGGGACGAGGTGAGGCACAAGGCCGAGCAGCTGCTGGACGAGGCCGAGGCCCGGCAGCTTCTGCTCGTCATAGGGCCGGGACAGCCGGACGCTTCGAGCACCTTGCTCGAAGCGTCGACGGAGACCACGTGTCCGGAGCGGCGGCCGGACCCCGAGTCGACGACAACCGCCGGCGACGAAGGTCGGGGAACGCCCGGCGATGCCGAAGGACCGGCTCCACCCCGCGAGCTTGCCGCGTGCACCGCCGCCATAGGAGAACCCGGCGGAGGAAGTCCGAGTGACTTTGACCTGCCGGGAGAGGTCGCCGTGGAGAAGGAGGCGATGCTGGAGGCACAGGGGTCGGGTGGGGTGTGCACTGGCGTGGAGCAACGGAGCCGACCCAACTCGGATTCCTCGGCTGAGCTGGAGCCGGTGACTCGGCCGGGAGAGGCGAACCACGCCCCTGGCACTGGTGCCGAGGTGGAGGACGTGGAATTCCTGGTGGTGCTCGAGAAGCAGCTGCTTGAGCAAAGGGTAAGGGATAGGGCCTGGAACGAATCATCGGTTCTTGTGTTGCACGTTGCACGTGTCGACTTGTGCACATCTACACGTGTGTATGGTGAACTTCTTTCGCACTGTACATAGCCAACCTAGCGAACCTGAATCGGTTATGCAACTGTTGTTATAATGAGAACTGGAATGCATGGGTTCATGCAGTGACATTAATAAGAAGCATGACGATCAGACATGATGGAAGGAGCTTTAGGCAAATATCTGCCTTTTGGGTCTGATAGAGATGAGAAGAAATGAGAGAGGTATGCCCCTTGTCACGGATATTCACGGCGACATTTAACGTTTTTTGTGTGAATATTTAACGAGAGCAAAACGATGTAAACATAAATGGGGAAATTATGAACCATCTCAGAGTTAATGATTGGACAGCCATTATAATCAATGGAAATGAGTAAGGGGGGATGATTGTGGATCTCAAAACGGCTGTAAAGTTGTGCTCGAGATAAATGTGAGCGGAACAAAAGTTTGACAAAAACATTTCTCCACAAAATGAAGATGTTTTTTTGGAAGGCCACAACTGGAAAACAGGTTATGTACCCCGAGAGGTCAAAACGGAATTAATTATTGAGTTGAATGGTGACCTCAGCCATGTGACAATTCATCTCATCCCTGGGGGGGAGGGTGGGGTGGTGGAATCATTCTACGCCCCCCCCCCTAGTAACGATGAGTTTGCCATTGTGACCCCCCCCCCCGCCTGCATTATGCAAGTTCCACCATGAAGGGAAAGTCGTACAACAAGGTGATGTTTATTTATAGCGCTCCGCTAACATTGAGAATTTGCCCCTTTTTTAAGCACGTGGGGTTACTACAACGTTTGCTCCAAATGTTTTTTTTTGCAAAACCCATGAACTTGGAAATTGCCTGTGTTTGATGTGAAATATAAAATGAGGTTTGTTGTTTTTTTGTTTGGTTATCTCCGTAATTAGATTTTCCGATTTTTGCATCAACTAAGAAAAATCATTTTTGTAATAACACCCTTGATAAACATAAGACAGGATTTATGTAATGTATATTGCATTACCAATTCCTTGATTATACAAATTTTCCGAATTTTTAAAGTGGGATTTTACACAACACGGTGGCTCTAATTACCGCCGTGACATGGATGGAATAAACAAAACGGTTGGTACATCTTTGGAAGGTGCGTACTGCTAAAGTATTAATATTTATATCATTTTTTTTCATCTTCTCTTAGCAATAGCTATAAAGCCAATTGAAGTTGGATTTGCTTGCAGGGCTTCTGGAAAACTGTGTCTGATTAAGGTGGAATGCATCTTTATATGAACCACAACCATACGAACAAACTCTAATTGTTTGGGCAGTGACGCGGGCCCAAGTGGTAGGGCTTCTGCCACTTGTGCCAGAGGTTAGAAGTTCAAGCGAGGGTGTATTAATCATTAAAAAAATTTTTATCACGGTCTGTTTCCCATTTAAAGTTAAAGATCCCATGACTATTCATGAAAGAGTAGGCCTTTACACAAACACCATCACTTTCAATTGGTCTCGAATTGTCTGGAAAGCTAATTAGCCCAAATAACTAAACCATTATGGAGGATTTCTACTTATTTATGTTTTTACCCATAATGCTGCCAACGTCAAAAGAGTTTGTACAATACATTAAAAAAAATTGGTTATGCACTGAATTTGGCTAAAATGCCTGGTCTGAGAATCGAATTTTGGTTCGACTGCCATACAGTAAACTTTGCTCCCGTAGCTGAGTGGGTTGGGAAAGTGATTTCCTCTACCGTGTGGGCCACAGTTCACTTAAAGGGGTCACCCTGCGATATTCCCCTCGATGGACCATTCTCTTAACATGAAGATTTGCGCTGCTCTGCCAGAATCTTGACGTTCGAATTCTTCATCTCTTGGCACGACGGCGATTGCAGAAATCTGGAATGCAGTCGCAGGAGAAATTACCAATTGACGCAAGTCTCCGTCGGTTTCCTTTGTCGTGTGTCGGTCTGTGCGCTTGCGGCGCTTGCAAATTCGATCCCAGTATCCTCCTTTTCAACGTCCTCGCTCCATCACGAACGTCGCAGCACCTGCCCGCAGACAGTCCACCATGGCGGGGGCTTTTTTTTTGCATCGTAACAAACCCACGAGCCCCGAAGTATTTATTATTATTATTATATATTTTTTTTACAGCACGCCGCGTGGCTCGCATGACCCCCCTGGGGTGTCAAATTTCTCGGGGGGGGGGGACAGTCCTCGATGCAACTGGACCATTTTAAAGGAGATGGAAGGTAAAAGGTGGGGAGATGGCGCCCCCCCGCCCCCCAACCAGCTGCTGCCCCAATCCAGTGAGGGACACCACATCGGGGGAGAGGATGGGGGAATTTAAATGGGGAGGGGATAACAGGAGTGGGGAAGTATAACCAACCTAATGTGGTAGACCTATGGGTAGGGGGGGGCGGCGGGGGGGGGGGGGGAGCCGACTGTGGTTTTAACCTCGGCCTGCGCACGACCTAGGCCAACGCGGACGCGCCGCTTATTTCGTTATTTACGAGCGGGACCGGCGAAAAGTGCGGAGAATTAAATTAATCCAAATGGCGTGTGTGAAAATAACCGTCGTTCAATTACGAGGTCAACTCATCGCCCCGTGTGCCACAGGAAACTAATTTTTGTAATACGCCACACACACACACTCGCGCGCGCGATTCCTCATGATTAAGTTAATCCGGAACGGCTGCTTTTTTGCATTTTGCGCGGCGCGCGTTTTAAGTATTGTGTTGTGCACACGGGGAGGGGGCGAAGGTCGGCATAGAACAGAAGGGCTTACCACGGCCTGCGGCTGTGTCATCATAACTGCGCTGCTCCTATGAACATCCTCGCCTTTTTCATTGGGAACGTGGCCATCGTCGCCCCGAGCCGGCGATTTCGTCCGCGGTGCAACGCTGACGGAAGCCTTGCGGCGCAGGCGACGGTTTTCCGTCACTTTTTTTTTACGAGGAGACCGGTTTGTTTGCGAACAAAAAAAAGTTGGACGCGGCTGTGAGCAACAGCAGAGCGGTGCATCCTGGCAAAGGATTTGCGGCAACGTGGATTTGTCCGGCATCTAAATATGCAAGCTCCAACGCAAGACGTTGTACGGAATCGGGTGAGCGTACCAATGTGATGGAGCGCGAGAGAGAGCGAGGCAATTGGCGGGGAACACAAGGACATCGTGAGCCTGGACTTGAACAGGGGTGGCGAGTTGGCACCAAGGGTAGGTGAGGGAATCGGAGTTCTAGACCACGGGGATAGCAGGAGGGATATTACCGATGTAAAACCCGCACTGACCAGCGTGGTGAAGTATATCAAAACAAGCCCCTATGACTGTTGAGGCATTAGGAGGCCTTCATCCAGCAGCGGATCGAGAAGGGCTGTATCATTATGAACATGTTATTTATTAACAGTAGGGCGTGGAAAGATTCACCCCCCCCCCCCCCTCTGATTTGATACCACCATTCAAGGCAGTAGTGCGATTTAAATTATACATTTTTTTGTGGCATTGCAGTGAATGGTAGCCAGGGCCTTTTAGTGGCTCTAGGGGGTGACGTGAACCCGTTAAGAATCGATAAAGCATTCATTAACGGATGTACGGGCAGAACAACCCCTCCCTCCGCCCACCACAACAACCGATGATCCACTGCTGGCCTTCATCCAGTAGAAAATTTGACGGAGGCTTTTCAGAGTTGCTTCGTTTGTTTCTGTTTTTGCGACCCCCGCCCGCCCGCCTCTCCCCCTCGAGCAGGCGTTGATGCAGGAGCAGGAAGGGAGGCAGTCGGTGCTGGACGCAGCGCGAGCGGAGGCCGAGCGGATCCAGCTAGAGTACTCCGCGGACGACATGGCAAGCGTCCTGCAAGAGCTGGCGGCCCTCGAGTTACGGAACAAGCACCTCGTGCAACGGTGAGCGACCTCCAGTCGGGCACATGAGCCCGTAGCAGTAGTAATAATAATAGTGTGCGTTTCGCCTACACGGTCTGCGTTACTTTCCCTAGTAGAGGGGGGTGATGGTTACTATGTGTAATCCCAATTTAGTAATTTTCAGATGTTTTTTTTGTTGTCAAATTTTGACCCTGGCACACAAACAAGAACCTACTCTTTCCGAATGCCCGCGAGTATTTTACGGTTAATATACCCGCGGTAATGTCAGAATCGGAATCTTTATTGCGACTGGAGGAATCCATTGAGCTATGGCAGCTCTTTTGCACAGATGTCCGGAATGTCCAATAACCAGGGTGGACCTGCAAGATTAAAAACCGCGAGTTTCTGGAATGGGCCGTATCCACGACACACCATCCCCCAGGGTTTCTGAGGGTTGTTTGAAAATAGTAATGCAAACACGAACGAAAGTAATTTTGCAGCGAAAAAGTGACTATAAATTTTCCTGTATTTTTCCCACTTAAAACACACGCGCTCACACGCATAGTTCCTTGGAGGCAGTGAAAAATGAACAGAAGGCCCTTTTGTTTATTTTATAGATTTGCATGCTCACGTTGGTGGCATCGTATGGGCGGCAGATTAAAGAAAATAAAATAGGGTGAAAAAAGCTGTTGCAAGAAAATGGGTTTTTCAGGGAAGAGACAGGTAAGCGCGCCATATTCCGGTGGGTGGGTGGATGCGTGGGTGGGTTGGTGGGTGGATGCGTGGGTGGGGTGGGTGGGTGCGTGGGTGGGGTGGGTGCGTGGGTGGGGTGGGTGGGGTGGGTGGGGTGGGTGCGTGGGTGGGTGGGTACAAAGCACTTTACTAAATGTCAGGTGAGATGAATTATAGCCAAAAAACCGCCACTCCCATGGTAATGAAAGCAGACTTTTTATATTCGATGTCTGTCTGTACTTGGTAAGTGTAATTTCCGCCCCTACTTTCGCTGAAAACTACATGTGAATAGACGGCCTTGTTATTGAGTCATGTCTGGAAACATTGATGGGGCTCTCTACTGCTATGAATCTTTCGTTTTATACATACAGTATATGCCTTTCCGCCGCTGTAAATTTCTGTGAAAATAAATGTACACCGCTAACTATAATAATTTACAGCTCTTTTTCTTTCAAGGCTTTCCCGTTGTCGCATCAGTTAGGGGGGTTGTTTGACCATACTTCACCGCACTGACCATCCTTCAGCGGTTGATGTGCCCAAGGACCAGTTCGGCAAATACTCGCCACAGATGTTGGCCGTGACTGGCATTCGAACTGAGGTCACTTAACTCAACGCACAGCGTGTGATAACCACGGCACCACTGTTCCACCGTACGTGCGCCACTACAGACTATCTATTGTAAACGTGTGTGTGTGTGTTGTGTCTGCTGCTGTTCGATTCCCGCTCACGGCCAACACCAGTGACGATTATCTGAACCGGTCCTGGCCCTCCCCTAGGTCGACTCAGCCTGAAATTCGTACCTGGTGCGGTGTGTAAACATCGCCACTGGGGAGACAAAGGCGGTCGGGCGTGGTACTGGCCACCCATCCCCTCGTGTACCGTTACGGCCTTCATAGTTGCTCGCTAACAGCACTTGCCCCTACAGTCTGTTAAGGCTATACGGGGAATCTTTGTCTGCTGCTGTGGGGTGCAATCGTGTAGCGGTTCGCACGCTGTGTTATGAACCTTGACGATCGGCTGACGATCTGGCGATCAGCTCTGAAAGTCCTGGGCCTCCCCTAGGTCTGTTCATCCTCTAATGAGTACTTGGTGTGGTGTGTAACCATCGCCAATGGGGAGACCAAGACCAGGCATGGTCCTGGCTACCCACCCTCCTCGTGTACCGTTCCAGCCTTCATAGGTGTTTGCTAACAGCACTTGCTCCTACCGTCTTCTTTAGGCTATATGGGGGATCTTTGTCTCTGTCTTTGTACATTTCGACACGGGGAGTGGTGGCAATAGCCCACTGCCCTTTGAACCTTGCCACTCGAGGTCGATTCCAGCTAGAATGTGAGCAACCAGTAGCGAATATTTGAACCGGTCCTGAGCTTCTCCTGCATTAACTCGGCCTCAAATCAGTACCAATGTGATAAACCCAGGTGATCCGACGTGGTGTTGGCCGCATTAGCCTGGTATGCGCCTTGTGGGCTTTCACCGGTGCTCACGAATGGCACTTGCCCCGCAAATCTGTATGGCTGCTAGTGGTGGTGAGACAGTGTCCTTTGTACATTCGTACATAATACATCCCTCGCTGCCTCCGTACTCAATACGTATGTCACCGTCCTCTGCTAGTAACCCTAAAATTCACCTCTTCACGTAAAGTGTCCGTTGAGATCTTTCCAGAGAGGCAATCGCACACACGAGCGATCAGTGGAACTCATTCCAAAATTACTACCCAGGGCTGAAGGGAGAGAAGGAAAAAGGGAAATGACGGTTGTTTCCATCGATTATCCAAAAAAAAGTTTCAAAAAAGAATTGCACCAGCCCCAGGTATCGTGATATTTGGATTGAGGATTTTATTACTTGCTGTATCATAGACTTGATGACTACGTTCAGCCGCTGCGGTTATTTTACCCGTGAAAAATTGCAGCTTCTTGGCTACATGCAGCGAGAGAGAGAGAAATATTTTTTTTTAAATGCTCTACTGCTGCAGCAGGAAACCCCTTCAGTAATTCTTCACTGCAGTTTAAAATCCCTAGACGCTAGGGAGAAACACAATTGCTAAAAGAAAAGTGCTTTGCCTCTGCTGTTTAACCGTTATCTGTAATGGTAATGATGGACAGGATTATTGTAGCGCGCCCATAGCCAGCCACATACTGAATAAACCGAGCCCCCAGATGGCATTGCTGAAGCATCATTAACTTTTAATGTGTATGTGCATACACACTTATATAATCATATATGTGAGTCGAATGCCCAAAGCACCCGGAATGCGTTCAGTTCTAGTCTGATCTCAGAAGCTGTCTGGCTAGTGCTTGAATGTATGGCCACCGTACGTAACAAGTTGTTATTATTGTTATCGGCTGTGGGACATGTGGTGTGCAGCAAAGGGCAATGGAGCAAAATCACTTGGTGTACTGTACTTCTATGCTGCCCACCTTCACCAACCTGCACTGACCCTGATGGTGAAGTATGGTCGAATAATGATCAACACCTCTGCACAGTATGGAGCAGGCTCTGGTCCAGGAATACACTGGCAATGGGCTGCACCGGTTCGTATGCGTTTGCAGGGGGGAGTGGTGGTGCAGCGATCCGCACGCCGCGCTGCGATGTGAATCGGCCGTCCAGGTTCGATCCTCGGACGTGGATAACGTCAGCGATGACTGACTGGTATCACAAGTTGTCTGGGGCCTTCCCCTAGGTTTAGTCGGCCGTAAATGAGTTCCTGATGCAGTACGTGACCACGAGCACCGGGTATATAACTGCAGAAAGGTCTGGTGCTGGTCATACCCCATAAAGGCCGAAAAAGGTCCTCGCAAAATGGACTTTCCCCAACAGTCGATTCAGTTATAGCGGGATTTCTAATCTCTGCATACTTCTCCATTAGTGTTCCAATGGAGTGACATTCTTCTGCCATTTAAAATGTAGAATGTTGTGGCTGGATGGCTCAGAGGGGGTTCACAGCACTGAGCCGGCACTGCTTGCACCTGTAACGTGTTGCTCTGTGAGAGTTCGAGGTGGATACGTCATGGAATGGCACATAATGGACAGCAGAACTGGGCAAAACAAACAATGATTTGACTTTCTTGATGCACTCGCGTGTAATGAGTGACTTTCGAGACACGTCGTGTAGAGGGCTTCTTCGTATTTATTCTCTCACTGGGCACAACACGGGGTCATATATATATAAATACATCTCTACTGTAGCTACGCACAGCCGACCTCTCTACATAGTCCCATCGCCGACATCCAACCACGCAGCTGACTTACTAGTGTGATGATGACGGTCGATGGGAGCCGTGCGGAGGATCTTCCATGCGGCCGGACGACGGCGAGTGGCGACGCAGCCAGGACCCAAGACCCCGCAACAACCCTGAACCCTCGGTTCCATCCCCTTTAAATACCTCGCGGCGTGGCCAGGCCCCGCCTCTGGCCACGCCCCCTTCCAGAACCTTCGAGCAGGTTCTCGGAGCTTACCGACTAACCCCACCTTTTACCTTTAACCCAGATACGCCCCCCCCCCCCCCCTTATGATTAGTTGTTACGTAACCTTGGCAATACCCGTGATTACACTTCCAGGCCAACAGGTGACACCCTGTCATTACACATGTACCGTACGTACTTGTATGCGTACGTGCAGGATGCATTGAGTGCCTGTAATCTGGGCACTTTTGTGTGGGTACGGTCAGAACTGTATAGAGCTGTAACTTGTCGAGGCAAATCACTGGTTATCTGCTTGCAGTTGTGAAGCTTTTGGCTCGGTCCAGCCGCTGGCTGTGAGAGCTCTAACGGGCGAAATTGCTGGCCAATGGGCGTGAACCTACCAGCTGGCAATAAGTCTGCAGAGGCTTTCAATGAAAGCTTGGCTTAAAGCTGCATCTTATTCACACACACACACACACACGTGTGTGCTCTTCGGTAGATGTAGTAGATGTAGTGAGTGTGGAATGGTAGCACCAATGGTTAGTGTACTGCGCGATGAACTCGTGAAACCCGAGTTCGATTCCCGCTCTCCATTCCCGCTCTCACGGCCAACATCGGTGGCAAATGCATGAACCGGTTCTGGGACTCCCCGAGCCTTGTTGTACCCTGGCGTGGTGTGTAAACATCGGCACCGGAGATACAAAGGTGGCTGGGTGCAGTGCTGGCCACATCGCCACCTCACGTGCCATTCCAGCCTTCATAAACGTTCGCTGAAACGGCAGCTTGCGCCAGCGACGTAGAAAGGCCATCACGGGGTTCTTTGTCTGTGTATTTGGGCAGTGGCGGTGTCGCAGAGGTCGGCGCATTGTATTGTACAATCTCAATAGGCCCAGGTTGGATCCCTGGTC